GGGGGGGGGGGGGGGGGGGGGGGGGGGGGGGGGTTCGGGCTCGGGCTCGCGAGTATCAATGTATCTCGAAGAAGTTTAGTACGCGCGTGTGCCGGATCAACGTGTTACGATATCGGCAGTGGCTGGTGAATAAAAGAAGAAACCCAACACCGTTCCCATTATTTCTATTTCTCATTTTTCGATTTATTTCCGAATTTCGTTTTTGCTCCTCGTTCTTTCGAGGTCGCGCAACAATTTCATCGATCGCTCGCCTCGAAACGCTCGAACAACGGTTACGCGAGTCGAGATTCGTCGACGCGGAACGGTAAGAACGATCGCTCGACGCGGTATCGTGTAGCTTCGATTCTATGAATATGTATGTATGTATGTATGTATGTATGCACGCATGTACGTACGTATGTATAAAGTTTCGCTAAAAAAGATCCTGAGGTAAAAACAGTTTCCATCCGGGAGCGGAGATATTTTCGCGCCGGACCTCGTAACTTCTGGTTTCGCGGCTCTCGAGACGCCGAAACTTCTGAAACCCCCGAGTTTTCTAGAATCTCCGGAACACGAATTTTCGGGTCTCGAGAAACCCTCGACGTATCGTCCGAACGGATGCCAATTTTCGAGATTTCGGACGTTTCGAATTTCGTCGAGGTCCGACCAACCTATCGAGAAGTTTGCGATTCCGCGATCCGTTCCGACGCTCTTATCCTCGTCCCGGATGGAATTACGCGGGAGAACGAACAAACGCGAGGATCGGACGACGCTAGCCGTCGGAACCGAGTCGTTTCTCAAAGGGCCGCGGCCGCGACCGTTCACGGCCGTCTCCACCGTCACGGATCCAACGGTTCGGGATCGGGCGTTCCGCGTTGCGCGAGAATCTTCGATCTTTCCGTGCGCGCCTGAATTTTGCTCTGCAACGACTTGATCTTCTCTCGGCAGAACTACGATCGTCTCGCAGAGAACGCGCGATCGGATGTACGCGGACGTCGCGTCAACGCCGACGGCGAGAGGAGAGAAAGAGAAAGAGAGAGAGAGAGAGAGAGAGAGAGAGAGACAGAGATCCGAGAAACGAAGAAAAACCAACGTGGACACCGAAACGTAAAACGACGACGACGACGACGACGACGACGCAAAAACGATACGACGGGGATCGATGATCCAGACCGGAACAGAAAGAAAATGAGCGAGATGGAGTGACGGAGCGGAGAGATCGAGGGAGAATGGCGGATGAAAGGGGTGCGGCAAAGAAAATTTCTTAAATCATATTGTAGCCGATGCGATGGAGTAGACGAAACAGATTGTCAACAAACGCAAACAAAGAGAAAACCCATGAAAAGAAAATAGACGGAGAGGTGAAAGAAAGATAGGGGGTTAAAAAGATCGTAAGAACGGATCGTTCGATTATTTGTCGAGCCGCGTTCCTCGACTCGTGCTCGCTGCGTTCCTTCGCGAGTCTCGACGCGCGCGTCTGCGGAGGTCACTTGATTTTCTCGCGTATCTTTCGTTTCTCGTGCTTTCCGGCGATTCGTCCGGCGACTTTCCCGGCGACATTCTCTTTCTCCGGGTATTCGCGAATCGAATCGTCCGTCGCTCGTTGCGCGATCTACTGCTCGCGACGATCGAAACTGAACAAAGAAGCCTACGGGTGTGATCGCGCGTGCGAAAGACAGTGTTGCGACAGCGACTCGAATCGTGTTTCGGTGGACGAGACAGTTTTGCAGTACGGTGCCGCTACCAAAGTTCTCGCGCCGTCTCGCCGTCTCGCCGTCGCGACGCAGAAATTGGACGGTGAGAACGGCGAGATGGTAGAAACAGAACACGTGAATTACGCAAGAATAGAAAGAAAATGAAAACAAGCAAAATCAAGTAATCCCCTTACGGTACAAAAAAGACACATAAAACTGTACGCATCGCGCGTACGATCGGCCGAAAATCTGCGTACTCGCACCTTCCGAACCCTCGAAACGGATCGGCGAAGGTTCGAAACGTTCGACGAGCGGTCCGTCGATTTCGATGCAAAATCGAAAGCTTTCGACGCTTCGGAACTTGAACAATTTTAGCCAGGATTTTCGAGTTCGTTTTCATTTGGAAAGTCTTCGCGTTTCTCGTTTCGAGCCTGCCGTACGCGGACTTTCGTGGCCGATCGCGCGCAGCGCGTGGTTCGTGTCCGAACGGAGAACGGAGAACGGAGAACGGAAAACAGAGAACAGATACGGTACAGAGTACAGAGTACAGAGAACAGAGAACAGAGAACAGAGAACAGAGAATACAAAGAACAAAGAGTACTACTAGGAGAAAAGTAAAAGAGATAAAAGGTGAAAGGTTAAAGAAAAGTGAAGGATAAAAGAAAATGTAAACTCTAAGAAAACAACAAAGACACGTGCGTGAGAGTGCGACACGGTCGAGATTCCGTTCTCGTACGTTTTCGAGAAAGAGAACGGAGCGAGACCGGTTCAGTCGGGCCGTGATACCAACCGGTACCCCGTAAGAAATCTACCACCACGATGAAAGCGCGTTTCGCGAGGCTGCGTCGCGAGCGCCGGACGATCGTACGCTCGGATCGTCCCACCGACGAACGAGCGAACGAGCGAACGAACGAACGAACGAACGAACGTTTTTCGCCGGAATAATCGACGATCCGATCAAAGATTGTGTTATTCGTTGGCTCGAGAAGTCGTCGGTGTTTCTCGATGGAAGAAATTGAATGCGCGAGGACGAGATTAGCGGTTAGCGTTTAAAGATGGCGGAGCAGCGGTTAGAAGAGGGCCGTGCGTACAGAGTTCGTTAACGAGACGCGCGGCTTCGTTCGTCGCGAGCGCGTATAGGAAAGCCTCGATATGGGAAGGGCCGCGTTCGATCGACGATGTTAATATTTCACTCTTTCGCGGGCAACTTTGGATTCTTTGGAAAAGTTCGAACGACGAACGTTCGATTTTAGAGCGCAGCTTCGAATTCCGTCGACGCGTTTCGGTTGCTGGCGAAAGAGTCGGGCCAGTTCGAAGGGAAAAACTGAATGGAAACACCTTGACATAAAAACTGTGACGACTGTGACTGTGAACTGTGAACTGTGAACTGTGACCTGTGACCTGTGACCTGTGACCTGTGACTGTGGCTGTGACCGTGACCGTGACCGTGACCGTGACTGCGACCGCGACCGCGATCGCGAGCGAAAAGAACGTTCGTTATCGACCTCTGTCTCCCCTTTACGAGATACCTCCCTCGATAGTCGTCAAAATGTTTCCAGTGGCAGGGCGCGACCTTGTTACAGCTCGACGCGCAAAGGTTACACCCGCGTTCCGACTGCTCCGTGCTCGATCGCTTCGACGATCGTCCCGTCTCGTTCCATTGAAACGTCTTCCGACTCGCTCGGTAGAACCGCCAACGATTTCCCAGAGAATTCGACGAGAACGAGCGAAATTATCGAGCGGAGCAGCCGAAGATCGGGTCATCGGCGGAGATCCGCCCTGCCTCGGTTAGCGATCGACGGGCTCGGGTGAGTGGGTTAATAATCGTTAGTCGCGTTCTCTCTTGCTCGGGCACGAAGAAATCGGAAATCCGGGATCCGGGATCCGGGATCCGGGATACGCGATCCGCGCGCGTTCGAGAAGAATCCCGAAGCGATATCTTCCGTGGAACGGAACGCGGTTCGTTAGACGAGAGAGCATACGAGTATCCTGGTGGTGGTCTTCAGTTGGTATCGAGCAAATGCAAAAAACCAAGTTGCTGCTTTTAGCGCAATTGTGCAGGTGACGAGAAGGTGGGACCAAGGCGAACCTACCTGTTGCTCCTGCAGCGCCTTCTCCTTGTCGGCGGAGAGGTACGTCGGGCTCAGCACCGTCCTCAGCTGCTGCTCCACCTGGACGATCTGCTGCCTCAGCTGCTGTATCTCCTGCAATTAGATAGACGCCGTCTCAGAGTCCCGCGCGTCCCATCGACCGCGCCGTCGAGACGATCGCCGATCGCGGAACCCTTCTCGAGTCGATTCCAACCGATCGATTCTCGATCGACCGTTTCGCGCGTTCCAATTTCATCGCGTACGTCGCAGAGATTTCAAAGAGATTTTCGAGAAAAGGTTGTCGTCGTCGTCGTCGTCGTCGTCGTCGTCGTCGTCTCGAGGTTCGTTCGAAGAGATCGGCGATGGCGTCTCGAGGGAGCGCGCGCGCGCGCGCGCACGGTCCTCGGATCAGGACGAAACGGCGCGACGTCGCTACCGCGTCTCTTCCTCGCTCCCTAACCTGTTGATATCGATCGATCCGAGTCAGACAAGCCTCCAAAGACGCGACCTGTTCCTTCACGGTGCCGTGAAGGCTGTCCAAATCGGCCAAAAGTTCGTCGACCGTCTCGCCGATGCGACTATCCCCGCCGATTCCGGAGCGGAAGTGCACCTGCAGCTTCTCCATCGATATACCGATTTTCGTTTTCTGTATCGCCACGTCGCTCAGCATCTTTTCGCGCACGCTGTGCTGATCCCTCAGCGGTTTCTTCTTGCCCTGCGGCGATTCCAGGCTCTGCCTAGCCTTCTCGATCCACGATTTCACCTCCTTCATCTTTCGCTCGCACTGCTCCCATTCCTCGCTGGTCTCTTGCAGCAGAGCGTTCTAAAAACGGACAAGGAGAACGCGCGATGTATCTCTCTCTCGCACTCTCCGGCTCTGTAGCCGCGCGCGCGAGTCGGACCTAATCGAAAAAATCGATCGACACGAACCCTCTCCAACAGCCGACCCTCCACCTGCACCTTCGCTTCCTCGGCTTCCAGCAGCTTCTCGGGCAGCACGCCCACGCTGCAGACTTGACCGATGCTCTCGAGCTCTTTGCCCATCTCGCTCAGGTTCCTGTTAATCTGCTTGCAGCTCTTGGCCGCGGTCTGCAACCCGCCCCGAAAACATCTTTACCGGCTCGATCGATTTCCGCGGAAACGCGCGCGCCTGGCCTGGACGCGTCGAGCGACCCTCGAGCGGAACTCGGATATCGAGAACGCGAGCCGTTTCGCGGCCGATCCGTTTCGAAAAGAAGAAGAGTCCGCTCGGGGGTCGAAGACGCGCGCTCCGCGGCCGGCGCTCCTACGCGACGATATACGAAAGGAAAGAGCAGATCCGGAGAGCAGAAACGAGACGGCCCTCGCGAATCGAATCGAATCGAATCGTCGACGTACCGAATACTCGTGCAGCCTCTGCCTGGCCTGCACCAGAGTTGCGAGCTTGAGCGGCTCGACCAGGAATCGCTTCTTTTCCTCCGTCCAGGCCTGGACAGCCTCGTAGAGGGTCCAGAACCTCTGCCAGGCGTCGATCGCGTCGGCGACGAGCTGCTTCCTCTCGTCGAGCCAGTCGCCGACCTGGCTCAGCTGTTCGGTCACGTTCCGCACGGTGCTCTCTATCAGCTGTTTCTCGGTGTCGTCCCTGGTGTTCTCCGCGATGGTTCGCCCGTTTCTCGTCAATCGCTCGAGCTTGTCCGCGATCGTTCCCAGCTCGTCCTGCACCTGCTTCAGCTGCTCCTTCAACGGACCCGGCTCGATCGATCGATCCTGAACCTTGAGCTCGGCCTGGCGTATCCAGGCCTGAACCTCGTCCAGGTCGGTCAGATAATCCGAGCGGACGGTTCGGGCCCGTTTCTGTTCCCTCTGCTTCTCCTCCATCGCCTGCGCAGTCGCCTCCGCGCAGAGCTCGAGGCCCGTCAGGTGCTGGGACAGATCGCTCGGCACCAGCTGCTGGCTAGCTTGATACCGCGCCTTAGTGCTTCCCGAGAACTTTTTCGCCGCGTCGAGCAGCTCCTCGACGGTCGACACGAGTCGATCCAACGATTCCTCGCAGGCGTCCTGGTCGGGCCCGAACACCTCTAGCCCCGAGACGCGGTCGCGCGCCTCGTTCAGACGCTTCCTCAGCTGATCGATCTCGCGCTCGATGCTCTCGAACGCCTCCAAGTCCTCGTCCGCCTTCCGGGATCTCTTCCGCAGGGAGTCGACGAGCCTGAAACGACCGGAATCGTCTCATTCGCGAGCCTTCTCGTTCCCGTTCCCCTTCCCGTTCCCCTTCCCGTTCCCCTTCCTTCCCGTTCCCCTTCTCGTTCCCGTTCCCAGACGACACGAGCGATAAGAAATTTCGACTCGACGACCCTCGGTCGTATAAAAGTCGCATCCTTTTCTCTTCGGAATTAATCTCCCACCCGGATTAATTTGTACGAGCGACGAAGGTGCGCGCGAAAAGAGTATACGGATTGTTCGAGTTCGCCGTACGGTTGCTTCCCGAATCGAAGAAAAGTCGAGCAAACCGTTGAAACGAATCGTAACTATCCGAACGAAGCTACGAGGGTCGAAGGACCAAGGAACCGACTCCGGAGGAAGAATCGTTCGCGCGACGGGGACGAATTTCTGACGCGGACGTTTCCCGCGGCGACCTTAGGCAGGGTATTCGCGCGCCTCGCTCGTCGGCCAGGTAAAAATAGATTTCGACGTACGCGTTTCCCGTTCGAGTTTCGGGCCTCGGTCCTCGGACCTCGGGTCTCCGATAACGCGTGCCACTTCGCGATCCTCGGGGCAAACGTTCGATTCGAAGGAGCGACGAGAGCGAGGAGAGAAAATAACCTAGGAATTGATCGGACGGGCCTCGAGGAATTGTCCGAGGCGGAGGCACTCGACGCTCGACGCTCGACGCTCGACGCTCGACGCTCGATGGATTTAGAGTCGGAAATGCGTGTCGCTGCCGACGGTGGCTGGCTTCGCTCCAGCCAGAGCGGACGACGCTTCGGCTAAAAGTAGACGATGCGTGCGCGCGCGCGACCGTTTCGGGAAGAACTTTGACGGAATCGGAATTATTCGTTTGCCACGGTCCCGGGCTATTTTCGCCGGGCCGTTTTCTCGGTTTTTGGGCCGGTGGAAAAACGTCGCGTCGCGCGGAGCGCGATCGATCGACCGGTCGTCGATCTCTTTCCCAACATCGTCGAGACGTTGCGCGCGTCGACCTCCCGACCCGACCGAATCCGCGAACCTCGTCGCCGACGATATCGTAAACCGACGTTTCGTCGGAACGTACGCGCGTTCGCGAGGACGACGCGTCGCGCACCGCCGACCAGCCGATCGCGACGCGTTTTCGCGTCCGTTTCGCGTCGCGACCCGCGTTTCCGTTCGGAGAACGAATCGTCTCTCGTTCGAACGCGGACCACGCGGCAACCCGTTCTCGCCGTTTACTTTCGTCGCTCTCGATCGTTTTATCTCGTTTTCTTCGCCCGCGATCTCCGTCTTTTCGAGAATCGACGACGATCGCCACTCCGCGCCTCGCGTCGCGTATCGACCGTGCCTCTTTCATCGATGACACAACCTCGTACTCCGAACAATCTGCTCGAGAGAGACGTCGCTTTTCGCGCGGTATTCGCGCGTAACAACGTCGCGATCGTCGCCGGTGCAGCCTGCTCTTTCTTTCGTTGACGCTGCACGGGTTTCGTTCGAAGATCTTCCGACGATATCCCACGGAGTCGGACGCTTTCGCAGTATTTCGCAGTATTTCGCAATATTTCGCAATATTTCGCAATATTTCGCAATATTTCGCAATATTTCGCAACGTTGGACAACCGTCCGGGCTAGAAAGCTCGCGCGAACTAGCGACGATAAATTTTCTTTAACAAGTCCTCGAAGATGCGCGAAAGTTGCCCGCAACTGCTACACCTTCGAGCGGCCTCCTCCATCCATCGAAACAGCGTTAAACAATTTTTTATCCGGCAAAACGTACACGTTTCTCGACGCGCGCGTTTCCGATCTCTTCTTCGCGAATACACGGTTTCGGCGTAAAATATATAGGAACAACGATCTCGGCTCTAGTTTATTTTCACAAGATTTCGCAACATTGGACAACGAGTCTTGCCAACGAAGCGGCGCGGCTTCTCGAAGGCCGTATAAAATTATTTCTTTCGATTCTCGACGAAAACTAAGAAGAAACGCGAACAATCGAACGACCGATCGTAACCCGTTCCAGGCGATAAGCGCGAACGTTTCTCCTTCGAAACCGTTCGAACTCGACCGAGGAGATTTCGGCGCCGGCAAGATTCCGGCCATCCTTCCGGATGCCCGTTCGTTGGAAAATAATTCGCAGGAAAGTGCGGCACGCGACACGCGGCACGCGGCAGCGGGAAGCGGAAGTCCCGGTCCACGTGACGCAACCTTATCCGGGCATGTGACTCGACCCAACGTGCTCCGGCGCATCGTCGCGGCAAGTTCATCGCCCAAAGATATTTCGGTCGCACCAACCAACCCCGGTACACTTTTTCCTCTCTCGAACACCACGAAAACGGCTGCTCGATCCCGAAAATCTTCCGGATCTTCGAAAACGTCCGACCGGGGGCCGTGGCGGACGCGTTCCCCGACGAGAACGGATCAAATTTCCGAGAGGTTTCCCGCGGAGGATCGCGTCGACGTTCGGATCGAGATAGACGATACACTTTTCCGTACCTATTCTACGAGGCTCGTCTCGCGCGAATTCGATCGATTTATCGATCGAATCGTCCGGTCCGTCGCGTTCGCGGAGATCCCTGGCTTCTTCGGTTCTCGTTCCCTCGTTCCGAAATCGACGACGAACCGCGAGATATCGGGCCGGATTCCGACGAGCGGTAAATCGGATAACAGTATGGCGCGGCACGGTCAAGCTAAACAGCAGCGGTCGCGGTTCGAAACGTTATTAGACGGGCCGTAATAGCNGATCGTTTTATCTCGTTTTCTTCGCCCGCGATCTCCGTCTTTTCGAGAATCGACGACGATCGCCACTCCGCGCCTCGCGTCGCGTATCGACCGTGCCTCTTTCATCGATGACACAACCTCGTACTCCGAACAATCTGCTCGAGAGAGACGTCGCTTTTCGCGCGGTATTCGCGCGTAACAACGTCGCGATCGTCGCCGGTGCAGCCTGCTCTTTCTTTCGTTGACGCTGCACGGGTTTCGTTCGAAGATCTTCCGACGATATCCCACGGAGTCGGACGCTTTCGCAGTATTTCGCAGTATTTCGCAATATTTCGCAATATTTCGCAATATTTCGCAATATTTCGCAATATTTCGCAACGTTGGACAACCGTCCGGGCTAGAAAGCTCGCGCGAACTAGCGACGATAAATTTTCTTTAACAAGTCCTCGAAGATGCGCGAAAGTTGCCCGCAACTGCTACACCTTCGAGCGGCCTCCTCCATCCATCGAAACAGCGTTAAACAATTTTTTATCCGGCAAAACGTACACGTTTCTCGACGCGCGCGTTTCCGATCTCTTCTTCGCGAATACACGGTTTCGGCGTAAAATATATAGGAACAACGATCTCGGCTCTAGTTTATTTTCACAAGATTTCGCAACATTGGACAACGAGTCTTGCCAACGAAGCGGCGCGGCTTCTCGAAGGCCGTATAAAATTATTTCTTTCGATTCTCGACGAAAACTAAGAAGAAACGCGAACAATCGAACGACCGATCGTAACCCGTTCCAGGCGATAAGCGCGAACGTTTCTCCTTCGAAACCGTTCGAACTCGACCGAGGAGATTTCGGCGCCGGCAAGATTCCGGCCATCCTTCCGGATGCCCGTTCGTTGGAAAATAATTCGCAGGAAAGTGCGGCACGCGACACGCGGCACGCGGCAGCGGGAAGCGGAAGTCCCGGTCCACGTGACGCAACCTTATCCGGGCATGTGACTCGACCCAACGTGCTCCGGCGCATCGTCGCGGCAAGTTCATCGCCCAAAGATATTTCGGTCGCACCAACCAACCCCGGTACACTTTTTCCTCTCTCGAACACCACGAAAACGGCTGCTCGATCCCGAAAATCTTCCGGATCTTCGAAAACGTCCGACCGGGGGCCGTGGCGGACGCGTTCCCCGACGAGAACGGATCAAATTTCCGAGAGGTTTCCCGCGGAGGATCGCGTCGACGTTCGGATCGAGATAGACGATACACTTTTCCGTACCTATTCTACGAGGCTCGTCTCGCGCGAATTCGATCGATTTATCGATCGAATCGTCCGGTCCGTCGCGTTCGCGGAGATCCCTGGCTTCTTCGGTTCTCGTTCCCTCGTTCCGAAATCGACGACGAACCGCGAGATATCGGGCCGGATTCCGACGAGCGGTAAATCGGATAACAGTATGGCGCGGCACGGTCAAGCTAAACAGCAGCGGTCGCGGTTCGAAACGTTATTAGACGGGCCGTAATAGCGTCTGCTTTGAAATTTTCGTCTTGGCGAGGCGCCGCGACGCATGCGGATTACGGGCGCGCCGCGTCGAGCAGCGTCGAGCAGCGCCGAGCCCCGCCGAGCCCCGCCGAGCCCCGAGAAACCCCGAGAAACCCCGTCCGTCCAGCCGCGCGCCGGCCGCCAACGAAAATCGACGACGGCCGAAAAGAGCAGCGCGCCGCGTCGCACCTAAGAATAATACGCCGTCTTCTTCGCGAGATCGCGAGTTCGCGAGTTCGCGAGAGGAAAGTTCGTTGGCTCCGAGAGGCTCGCGGTCCGCGTCATCCCGGAGCTTTTCCACCCTAACCGTGCCACTTGCCGCTAGACCCGCCGCGATCGCTCCGCGCATCCGCCGCGCCGGTTGCGCTCGGTGTTGCAACGTCGCCTCGAGTTTTTCGACCCTGTCGACTGGGTCGCCGCGCGCGAGACCTCCGCGATTCTTTACCCTTCGTCGCGCGGTCTCGACGTTTCGTCGATTTTCCATCGGAAACGAGACTCGACTTTGCGCTCGAGTCTTCAGCCGATGGAACGGCTCTTTTTCTCGCGCCATTTTAGACAGAATTCGCGACGGCGTTCGGTTCGGTCGAACGACGTCGTATTTTTGGGGACGCGCCGACTCGCGTCGCATTCGCGTTCAAGGGAAGTCCACCCCCGATTTCTATCGCCGCCGAATTCGCGACCTTTCGAATATCGCGCGGCGCGATCGACTCTTCGACGTTCGCGATCGAACGTCGATCGACGCGCAAGATTCGCCCTGCAGCTAGGGTCTCTAACTTTGAATACCGTGGTCGCGCCGGGGACTCGCTTCTACCGAACAGAACTTTATCCGCCGCGGTCCGACGGAACAAGGTACGCGCTTTCCGTTCCGATCGACCGTTGCACCGCGCATTCTCGATTCTCGATTCCGAATTAAAAACTTTCTTTCATTTTCGAGTCGCCGCGAAATTCGGGTACGAGTCAACGTAAAACGCGATCGTTGCTCGAGGAAATTCTCGAGCACCGGGCACCGACGAATCTACCGAAAAACGAGGCGATCGAACGTCGAAAACGTTGGCACGAACGTTGGCCGACGCTCGAACCGAGACACGCGAGAGCGAGTCGATATACCGTATCGCGGACAAAGTTCTCGCGCACCGTTACCATTTCGACGACCCGTCGAAACGATCCGGTTCGCGCGAACCCGGCAATAATTCGCGAAGCGGTCGAACATTCGCACCCCGACCCCGTTCGCGACTCGTTCCTGCCTGCGGCCGCGACGCGTTACAAGTTACAACTTACGACCGGAGCGCTCCGACGATCGCGCTGCCGTGTGTCGCGCGTCGCACGCCGCGCGCCGACTCTCCGCTGCTCTCTGCCGCCGACCGGCGATCGGCGACCGCCGACTGCCGACAACCGACGGAGACACGTGCACGGTGCACCGAGAAACCGACGCGTTTCCGTATCGATCGGTGATAGAGGCCACGGAGCTCGGCCCCTGCGGTAATAATATTTAAGCCAATAACGCGAAGCACGATCCCCGGCTAACGCGATCAACGCGAGCGAAAACACCGGTCGCGGTCGGACAATTTCATCGTTACGCACTAGCGGTCGACATGCCGCGGGATGGATCTCGTCTCTCGCCGCTTCCTCGACGTTCCCTCGACGCTTCCGATTACCGCACGGCTCCAAAACCACCGTATCCGATCGCCGAATCTTCTTGGCAACGGCGACGATGATCACCGCGATAATTAAACGAAAGATTCGCCCGGTCTCCGCCGAACGCGAAATTAACGAGCACCGAAATCTCGATGGTCGGAACTCGCGTCGAAAGAAAAATCACTGTTGCACGTTGCTATCTCGCGCCGTGTCACCGCGCCTTTATCGCGACTGCCCTCGCGATACGTTCGCCGACGAACTGCTCGAACGCCGTTCCACGGATTATTCTAGCGATAATGCGACGTCGCGGCCGAGGATCGTCGTCATACTTTATTTCCAGTCTGTCCCGCGCCGCGCCGCCCCGCGCTCCGCGCGAATCGCGGTTCGTGAGTCGTGATTCGTGGATTCGTGATTCGTGATTCGTGATTCGTGAGCCGTGAGCCGTGAGCCGTGAGCCGTGAGCCGTGAGCCGCGAGTCGCGTCGCGACTGGTCCGCTCGTGACCGTAACCGTGATATTACGCCATGATATTCGGAAGCGGGCCAACGTGCAGCCTCGAATGCCCACCGATGCGTCGGCTCGCCGCTCTTCTCTCGCTTTTCTTCGTCGAATCTATATTTAGTGGGCGAGTTCGATCGACACACCGCGCGGAACCTTCGATCCCCGCGAACCGCCGCGGGCGCTGCGCGGCGCGGCGAGGCGCGGCGAGGCGCGTCGCCTAAAACGAAAACCGGGGGTGAATCCCATATCCCCCGAACCGGGCTGCCGCGATCGATTATTCTATTAATTCGATTTCCGCGTTTGCAACCGTGATCGCCGGCTTAATTGCACCCCCACTTTGCCCCGCGGAAATCGCTGCACCGTCTAGCGCGATACGCGATTCGTTCGACTTCTCTTTAGACTCTCGTTGTTTCGCTTTCCGCGGGCACGGGCTCGGGCGTTGCGAAAAATATTCGATGATTAGCGGAACGATGGAAAATATATCGAACGTCTCGTCGAAATATTTTTGTCGGTCGTCGAGAGACGGTAGCGTTCGCGGATACAAAATTTCGTCGAATAAGACGAATCCCCTCGTGAAATAATAATAAACGAAGATGCACCGTTGTCGATCGGTTAGAAATGCTCGTACACGGCGATCGTAATCGCTTCTCGTTCGTTCCTACGAAACGGATCGCGGACCACGGACCGCGGACACTGCAATTGATTCGAGGAAGATGAAATTTTTAGCGAGATTTAACGAGAACGGTTTACTTCGAGCCACGGTACGAACCGACGGAGCGCGGTGGTCGAAACGATCGCTCTTCGAGGAGGTTTATCACGGACTCTTCGGAAACAGGGGGACGGTTTCCGTGGTTGTGTTACCCTTTGCGATCGGGGAACCACCTCCGCGCGGTAATCGATTATTTTATTAGTTCGATTTCCGCGTATCCGCGATAATTGCGCGCAACGACTACGGCAACGGCGACGATATTTTCGTGCCAACCGTTTCGGTATACGAATACGATGAAATGGCAGAAGAGAGAGAGAGAGAGAGAATCGATCGCTTTCTTCGTCGGACCATACCAGCGAACGAACTTTCTCGCACCGTTTTAACGAGCATCGTTGGTTCCCCGAACCAGGGTCGCGAATCGTCGACCCGATTCCGCGACAAAGGTAGCCGGCTATAATCGTCGACGGAATCGCGTTCGAGCCGAGTCTTCCGGAAAATTGTCGCGCGGTTATCGAATCGACGGGAATGCGGAGAATCCTCGATTATCTAACGCTGCTCGATCAACGGCCTGCTCGGATTATAAATAATTCGAGGCGCGTCCGGATCGCGCGATGCTCCGTGCAACCGTTTGTTTACAAACAGCTCGTGGAAACGTGAGTCACGCGCGATTCGCGAGATTCGGACGATCTTGCGATCGTTGCCGGTAACGTTCGCCCTACGATTTAAAAATAATTTTCATTTCGTTCTCGCGCCACGCGAACGAGACGGATTCGAACGAGAAGAAGATGGAGAAGAGGGAGAAGAGGAACAAGAAGAAGAAGAAGAAGATGACGACGATTTCCCACCGAATTTTCACCGTACAATCAACGATTACGGAGCGGTCTATTTTCGCGGCGGTTGCATACTCCCGGATTCGCGATCTAATTTCGTTGTTTCTGTAGTTGCATAGGAGCGCGACGAAGCCGTGTCGTTCCTATTATTGTTGTCGTTGGTAATCGTTCCGCGAGCAGGCAAACGCGAACGCCGAAATACTCGCGAGCGGATCGTTCAAACCTTGCCGCGATTATTAATTTCCTGACGCGGAACGATCGTAACGTACCCGCTCGCGACTATTTACAAGGCCTAATTACGTCATGGGACTAATTTGGGTATGATGGAAGATGGAGCGCGAACGCGCGCCACGTAACGCGCGCTAAATCGATACGTGTCGTAACCGACAAGGAATCCGCTCCTGACGCGAAACTTCGCGCTCGTCCTTTCCCTCCCCCTCCCCACCCCCCCCTCTCCCACCGGGATCCTTCCTTTCTTTCCCCGTCGTTTTGCAACGAATAAACGAATTTCGGAAGAACCTTTGACATTTCGACGAAACCCCGAACACGTCGCCGATCTCGAGCTCGAACTCGATGGAGGAGATACGGCGAGGATAAGATTGCCGAACTTTCGCGTTTCATCGGAGAATCGTTGCGCGAATTCTCGTTATCGTTGATTCGTTTTCATAAACGTTCGAACGAAAGACACAGTTTATTTTGCCGCATAAAAGATATTTTGCGACAGGTAGGCAGCGAACGTGTATGCAAAATAGAAACGTCGTTCTTCGATCGCGCAAAAGATCGCGCTGTCTCGTCTTGCGTTCCCATTGATCTTCGCGGTCGATGCGAGGCGATAACAATTCGATACGGCCGAAACTTTGGCCGGCAAGAATCGTATAAAAGTATAAAAAATGTCTGACGAAGATCGCGTAAAATCGTAGAACGGATATTTTTCCTGGAAATAAAAATCGTACAAGATCTCCTGAAAACGAAGGCGCGACGATCGAATTACGATCGTGCGGACGAATTATTTTCGATGCGACGAGAACCTGAAACAGATCGAACGACGTCGGGAGAAGCGGATAACGGTCCTCCGCATCCGGAAGGTGATATGCGAAAGCGGGGCAAGCGCATGCACATGCGTAAAAATCACTCGCGGAGGCACCGCGACGATCGACGCATCTTTCGCGAGACACCGAGATTCGACTTCGATCGCGTAATTTACAGCTTACGCGGAACAAAAGATACCGCTGTACCGTCCCGACGACGGACGCGAAGCCGTCCATCGAATCGTTCGTTCGAAGCGGTCGGGAAGTGGAACGGTGCGCGCTCGCGTTCGAAACGCGAACCTATTCGATCGGCTGCAAAAACAAATCGACGGTGAAATATAAGATTTGCCGATCGTAAACGATAAATATCCCGATAAGCCCGAAGAATATTTCGAAATCGAAGAAATAACTCGGCGATCGAAGCAACGATTTAAACTCGAACGCGCGTATGGCGTCGTTGGCGTCGCGGGCGGTGCGCTCGCAACAACATCGACAAAAGTAAAAAGTTCTGCGGTCACTCACGCTTCGACGGAACCCTGCAATTTGTCCAGCTTTTTCTCCAGAACGTGTGCCGGAGCTTCGGTGAAGGCTGCGAGATACGCGAGAACGGGTCCTGCGAGGGCTCTCGCGTCCTCCGCCATTGGCTTCAGCTTCTCGGCCTCGGTCGCCAGTTCCTGCGGAAAAGAAACGCGTCCGATAAATCCCGTAATCGCTTCTGTTCCCGTCTCTCANCTGCGAGATACGCGAGAACGGGTCCTGCGAGGGCTCTCGCGTCCTCCGCCATTGGCTTCAGCTTCTCGGCCTCGGTCGCCAGTTCCTGCGGAAAAGAAACGCGTCCGATAAATCCCGTAATCGCTTCTGTTCCCGTCTCTCACTCTCTCTCTCTCTCTCTCTCTCTCTCTCTCTCTCTCTCTCTCTCTCTCTCTCTCCCTCCCTCTCACTCTCTCTCTCGAATTCGATGGCCGAAGAAGGGACCCCGGAAGTGCGGGACCGAACCTACCCAAGGATTCGGGTACGAAGGGCAAAGGGCTCGAGAGAGCCCGCGAACGCGATATTCTTCGGTAGGCCCGATGGACAAAGTTACGTCGAAATTGGCGCACGTCGATACGAGCGACGAGTCGAAAAAGAAGAGATACTCACGCGCCGAGCTTGGATGGTCTCGAGCAAGTGGTTCTTCGAACGGATCACGCGGTCCACGAGTTTCGATTTTTCTTCCGTGGCATTGATCCGACTCTCGACCAACGACCACCGAGCTTCCAGTTCTTCCCAGTGCTTCGCGAGAGCTTCGAGGGCGTCTCTGCGACCTTCCAACCCGGAAACCAATTCCTTCCATTCGGCTCCGGTTTCGGAAATTCGAGTCTCTATGGTTTTCTTGTTGTTCGCATCCGCCATGGCGAGGACCTCTTGACCCCGTTCGTTCAGGAGATCCAATTCGAATTGTTGATTCTGCGGAAAAATGTCGAGAACGAGACGTCGGTAAGAGAAGCACGCCAGGATAGAATTTGGCGAGCCTGGAAAAGATCGCCTCGGCTGGGACACACTCGCCTGTACGTCGTTCAGAGCGTGCGTGATTTTCTGAACGTTGAACTGCAGACCGGCCAGGGTGGTGACGGGTTCGTCGGTGAATCTGGTTCTCGAGACGACGGCCCGCACCCGTTGCAACGTTTCCGCGTAGTCCCTCCAGGTCTCGGCGCCTTGTTCCAGCCTGGCGCGTTGCGATTTCGCCGTGTTCAGAGTGTTCTTCAGCAGTTGAGTGTGTTGTTGCTGCTCCGCGCTCAGTTCCTCTTGCTCGGTATTGGTCAACGACGGCCAGATCTTGTCGGCCGCCTGTTGAATCTGCTGAGAGACGAGCTCGCGAATGGACGGCTCGCTGCTGAAGTAAATCTGAAAGCAGAATCGGATAGGTGTTCGCGTCGAGATACCGGTGCTCCCGGAGTCTTCGAGGAAGATCGAGGAAACTTCTCGGCGTTTCGCCAAACATCCCCGAGGATCCTCGAAGCGAAGCGCTTCGCTTTCACGGCTCGTCGGGACACCGCCCCGGTAAAACGCGCGCGGAATCGCCAACGAACCTTGTGCTCTTCCAGGTCGCTGAGGATGTTCTCGAAGTCGAGCCCGTCCTTGTCGCTCTCCAGCCGAATCTCAGCCTCGCGGACCCAACTCTGCAGCTTGTCGGTGAGCGCGGCGTACTCTTGTCGCATCTTCGCGTTGCTCTCCAAATAGTTGCCGCGTTCCTCCAACTCCCTGGGCAAGGAGGTCAGCAAGGACACCGCCTCGCTCAGCATCTCCTTCAACGATCCGGGCATTCCTTCCTCGTAGGGGATCGAGTTCTTCAGGCTCTTGATCCTGTCGAGATACTCGTTCACGGCCTCGCGGAGCTCCTCGTGTTTCCTCAGCTCCCCTTCCACGCTGCTCGGATCCCGTTCGAGAAGCGGCCTCGACTTCACCTCTTTCTCCTTGTCTTCCAACNCTCTCTCTCTCTCTCTCTCTCTCTCTCTCTCCCTCCCTCTCACTCTCTCTCTCGAATTCGATGGCCGAAGAAGGGACCCCGGAAGTGCGGGACCGAACCTACCCAAGGATTCGGGTACGAAGGGCAAAGGGCTCGAGAGAGCCCGCGAACGCGATATTCTTCGGTAGGCCCGATGGACAAAGTTACGTCGAAATTGGCGCACGTCGATACGAGCGACGAGTCGAAAAAGAAGAGATACTCACGCGCCGAGCTTGGATGGTCTCGAGCAAGTGGTTCTTCGAACGGATCACGCGGTCCACGAGTTTCGATTTTTCTTCCGTGGCATTGATCCGACTCTCGACCAACGACCACCGAGCTTCCAGTTCTTCCCAGTGCTTCGCGAGAGCTTCGAGGGCGTCTCTGCGACCTTCCAACCCGGAAACCAATTCCTTCCATTCGGCTCCGGTTTCGGAAATTCGAGTCTCTATGGTTTTCTTGTTGTTCGCATCCGCCATGGCGAGGACCTCTTGACCCCGTTCGTTCAGGAGATCCAATTCGAATTGTTGATTCTGCGGAAAAATGTCGAGAACGAGACGTCGGTAAGAGAAGCACGCCAGGATAGAATTTGGCGAGCCTGGAAAAGATCGCCTCGGCTGGGACACACTCGCCTGTACGTCGTTCAGAGCGTGCGTGATTTTCTGAACGTTGAACTGCAGACCGGCCAGGGTGGTGACGGGTTCGTCGGTGAATCTGGTTCTCGAGACGACGGCCCGCACCCGTTGCAACGTTTCCGCGTAGTCCCTCCAGGTCTCGGCGCCTTGTTCCAGCCTGGCGCGTTGCGATTTCGCCGTGTTCAGAGTGTTCTTCAGCAGTTGAGTGTGTTGTTGCTGCTCCGCGCTCAGTTCCTCTTGCTCGGTATTGGTCAACGACGGCCAGATCTTGTCGGCCGCCTGTTGAATCTGCTGAGAGACGAGCTCGCGAATGGACGGCTCGCTGCTGAAGTAAATCTGAAAGCAGAATCGGATAGGTGTTCGCGTCGAGATACCGGTGCTCCCGGAGTCTTCGAGGAAGATCGAGGAAACTTCTCGGCGTTTCGCCAAACATCCCCGAGGATCCTCGAAGCGAAGCGCTTCGCTTTCACGGCTCGTCGGGACACCGCCCCGGTAAAACGCGCGCGGAATCGCCAACGAACCTTGTGCTCTTCCAGGTCGCTGAGGATGTTCTCGAAGTCGAGCCCGTCCTTGTCGCTCTCCAGCCGAATCTCAGCCTCGCGGACCCAACTCTGCAGCTTGTCGGTGAGCGCGGCGTACTCTTGTCGCATCTTCGCGTTGCTCTCCAAATAGTTGCCGCGTTCCTCCAACTCCCTGGGCAAGGAGGTCAGCAAGGACACCGCCTCGCTCAGCATCTCCTTCAACGATCCGGGCATTCCTTCCTCGTAGGGGATCGAGTTCTTCAGGCTCTTGATCCTGTCGAGATACTCGTTCACGGCCTCGCGGAGCTCCTCGTGTTTCCTCAGCTCCCCTTCCACGCTGCTCGGATCCCGTTCGAGAAGCGGCCTCGACTTCACCTCTTTCTCCTTGTCTTCCAACCGGTCGAGGATCTCCGACAACTCGTTCGCCAATCTCTTGTGCTCGGCGGCGGCCAATTCGTGTTGCTCTCGCTGCGTCTCCACTGCCCTTCTCAGACCCTGAAGTTGTTGCTTCAGCGATTGCAGTTGCTCCGTGACGTTGTTCCTGTCCACCGAGGATCCTTCGGCCGCGATCTGCTGTCCCTTGTCGGTGGCGCTGGCCAGGAGGGCCTCGCACTCTTGGATCTTGAGAATCGCGTCGTCGTACCTGCAAAACACGCGATCGATCGTTTTATATCCGAGCCCGAGAACGTGACTTTGCCGCGCGCGCGCGCGCGCGCGCGCACACACACACAGGCTTTACCGTTTGATCTTTTCCTCCGTGGTCTGACCAGAGTTCTCAATGTCCCTGACGATCTCCGTGTACTTGGCAACGAAGGTGGTGATCTCGGCGATCAGAGCGATGAATTGCTGCCTCAACAGCAACAACTGTCGAAGCCTCGCGATCTGTCCCTCGATAGCCTTTATCAGATCGTCCTGCCGAGTCGAGACGCCGTGAAGATCGGCCACGTTCACCGATCCCAGGTCCGACAGCTTCGCCTTGTTCGCCTTCAGATCGTTCAGGATTCTCTCGTAAGCGTCCAGCATGGCTTCGACGTCTTCCACCTTGGAACCGATCGGCTTGTTCAGCTCGTGCAGCTCCTTCTGAACGTCCGTCATGTATCGCACAGCCTCCGCGACACGGGCCAACGATTCTTCGGCCTCGTCGATGTTCTTCCGGAGAGCCTGGGCTCGCTCGTTCACGATTCCAGCCACTCGGCCGTGAGCCTCCTTCATGTTTCGCAGCTGTTCGTTCAGCTCGAGCTTGTCCGCGTCGCTGACGGTCGGTAGGATCGATTTACCTTGCTGAAGGATCTTCTCGATGTCGTCCGTGAACTCCTGGGCCTCCTTCTTCAGACGGTCGTACTGTGAAAAACGAGCAGCAGCATTATTATTCGTACGTGTTCGAATAATCGCGAAGAAGCTGGAAGAAGAAGCGCGCGCGTACCTTGGCAAGCTGCTCCCTGAGAACGTCGATGCCGGAGGTCCTCAGATCCGACGAAGTGGCAACCTCGGCCTCGTTGATCCACCTCTGGCACTTGTCGATCTCGTTCTCGAACGCCTTTCGGCCCTGCAGAAGATCCGCGAGCGCCGCCTGTTTCTCTCTCGCCTCGTTCTTCAGCTCGTCGTAGTCCTTGCTCAACTCCTCCAACACCGCTTCCAACTTGGCACGATCTTCGTCGCTGCACTCCTTCAGCAAAGTATTCCCGTGCTTCAGAACGTCGTTTAGATCGTTCTCGCCGAAGGAATCGACGCCCGCTTCCAACTCGCCGTGCTGGACGATGTCTCGTTCGACTTTGGCGGCTTTCAACGGCAAATAGCCGCTCAGCTTCTTCAGATTGTTGCTCTTGGACTTGATCCAGGCCCTGGCTCGTTGCAGGTCGGCCTCGAACTTGCGACGAGCGTCGGCTGCGGCGGTCGCGCTGGAAATCCCTTCGGTCAGGATGTTGCAGAGCTCGGCTTGCTCGCCCCGAAGAGCTTTCGTTTCGTTCTCCAATTGCTGCTGCTCGTTGGTCTCCAGCTCGTTCTGCATGTTGCCCACTCGTTTCTCCAGGTTGTCGATCACCAACTGCTTCCCCTCAGCCTCCTTCAGCAGAGCCTGCAACGAACGAACGCGTCGCGGTCTCGTTGATCGATCGATCGACAGAAATTTCGTTGCGCGCGAATCGAGAAATAATAAGGAAATAATCGAACCAACGCGTTCCGCGAGCCGTACCTTCAACGCGAGCAGCTTCTCCTCGGCCAGCTTGCTCTCGTAGCCCACGGGATCCGCCAATTGCGCCTGCTGTTTCTTCCGCTGTATCCAATCCCTGTTCTCCTCGATCTCCTGCCTGGTGGCTTCGATGCCCTGAGCAGTCATGTCCAGGACCTGCGCCTTCCTCTGCAGCTTCTTCGCGATATCGGCGTACCGTCTCTCGACGGACTTGATCTGCTCCTCTATCTGCTGCGAGTCCAGATTGCTCACAGAGTCCATCACCTGGTCGCCGAGGAACTTGACTTCGCCGAGCCTGCCGGGACCCTGGGACTCGAACTCGGCAGAGATCTCCTTCGCGTTCGATATCTTCTGACCGATCGTTTGCCCGTTGCCCTTCTCCACCGCGTCGACCTTCTTCGACAAACCGTCCAGCCAGGATTGTATATTCTGCACTTGCGATCGATACTTGTGAATCAGCTCCTGAGCAGCTTGTTTGCCGGAGATGGCGTCCGTCAGCTCCGCTTCCAGCTTGTCCAGACCCTCCTCGATGTCCCGATCCTCCTCGTTCAACGACAGTTCGGTGGTCGCGTGAATTCTTCTTTCTCCGACGTTGCTCGAGAGGTCGTTCATCGCTTGGAGCTCCGCTTGAGCCGCTTCGGATCGCAGCTTCGCCGGACGGGACTTCCATTCGGCGCAGAGGGCTCTTTGCTGGGTGATCCAGGCTCTGAGGGCGTTCTTTTGCCTGGTCTGCTCCTCCAGTTCGTTCAGCGACTTCGTGACGGTCATCAGGTGTCCTTGAGCCTAAGGTAAAACGCGCGCATCGAGGTGAAAAACGAATCGTAACCGACGCACGAAAACGCGAGCAACTAAAATGTTCCACGTCGAAAAATAAAGCGAACTCGAATCGAACTTAAATAGAATCTCGTACCTGATCGATCAGTTCCTCCAATTTCGTCCTAACTTCGACCTCCCTGGCAGGTATCTGCACCGGCGGTGCGTCCAACGGACTTCCGGGCCTGGACACGCAAGCAACGGCAGCCTCGCAAGCTTCGACCGCCAGAGCGAGCCTGGTCTTCTCTCCCTGCAGTTTATTGTGCAACGCGCGCGCGTTCTCGAACCTCTCCTTCGCCTGCTCCAAGGTGTCCGTAGGTGCTTCCGCCTCCCGCGCGATCTCCGGTTCGTAGACGTCCAAATTTTTCATTATACTCTCGAGAGTGTTCTCGTAGTCCTGGAATTTGATCAAAGATTCTGCCAATCGCTTCTTGATCTGCAGAGCGGTGTTCAGAAGAGAGTTGTAGCTCTCCTGCACGTTCCGCAGCTGCGTCTCTATCGTGTTCTCGATGTCCGGATTTACGGCCACGTAGCGATCGATCTGCCCGTTGCCCTTCGCCTTCAGATCGTCCAGAACGCCGGTGTAGTTCTCGATCTCTCGCAGCAGAGCCTCGTGTTGCTCGATCTGGACGACGGTTTGCTCCTTGTTCGTGATGTAGAGGGAATTGTGGGCCATCAGCTGGAACGAGATCTGCAACAGCCACTTCTCGGTCTCCTGCAGAGCAACGTGGTACGCGTTGTACTCCCGCATCTCGTTCTCCAGCATCTTCCTTCGCTCGTCCACCTCGTCGCTCAACGTTTGCCACAGCTTCAGCGACGCTCTCGTCCGGTCCAGCGGTTCGTTCTTGTTCGCCAGCTTCGAGAGCTCGCCGGCCTCGTCCATCAGATGGTCCAGCTCCGTCCTTTTGTTCCGAACCTCCTCCTGCATGTGCTTGTACCGCTCCAACATCGTTTTCATGTCGCCAAACTCTCCTTTCGTGTCCGGTAGATCTCTCGCGGTCTTCCGGGTTTCCTCGAGCCAAAGTTTCAGCTTCTCGTGAGCCTCCGCGTGATCGTCCCAGCGAGTCAAGAGGGACTTGAGCCGAGCCTGGACCGTGTTCAAGTCTATGCTCAACTGCTCCCAGCTGGAACGAAGTCCGGCCATGTCCGACCTGAGTCGATCCTGCTGTTCCGGAACCGCCGTGTCGATGGCCTTGGCGAAGGCTGTCTGCAGAGTCGACAGCAGGTGCTGACCCTCGGTGATTCGAGTTGCCACGATCTGGAAGATGGATATATGTTATATATGTATGTATGTATGTACGTATGTATGTATATATGAAAAAAAAGAAACTCGCGAACGTGAGAAGCCGAAAGGTTCGCGGAACGATAAAAATTACCTTGACGGTCTCGAGTTTGTCCTTGGCCCATTCGGCGTCTCCGACGCCCATGCAGTCTTGCACGGATCCTCCGGCGACGCGCAGCCAGTCCTCCATCTCCTTCTTGGCCTTTAGGAACTCCGTGTGATCGGACAAATTCTTCTCCACCCTCGAGACCAAGCCTTGCATGTCGGTCAACAACGAGGTATAAGCTGTCTGCAGTTGCACCGTCTTGTCCCGAGCCCAGCTGCAGGCGCTCATCTCCAACAGAGCCTCGCACTCGTCGTTCAGATCCTCGAGAACCGGTTTCTGCCGAACGGCTTCTTCGACGAGACTCTTGCAACGAACCAGATCCTCGGGCGTCTTGTTCTCCTTGGACTGTTCGTCGTTGACCTTCTTTCGGAAATGGTCCATCCACCTCTTCATGCTGTCCAAGGCAGCCGTGAACTTGGACCAGCTGGCGATGCAATTGGACAAGACGTTCTGGGACTCGTGGCATCGAGCTTGCAGCGACTTCCAATCGGCCTGCAACCGTTTCGTTTCTTGCTCGACGGTCTCTTGGCCCTCCGGGCCCGTGCCGGCGATCACTCCGTCGCTCAGCTCGATCACCTTCGAGATCAAGGATTCTCCCCTGGGCAGAGACGCGACGATCTGGTCGACCTTGCTCTCCCGTTCGACGATCCGCTCCTTCTCGCCGTGCGTGTCGCAATGTTGCTGCAGCTCGAGCTTGGCGTGACGCACCCAGTCCGATGCTTCGTTCAGCGCTTGCTGGAACTTTTCGTGGTCGTTGACCTGCTCCTCCAGTTTCTAAACATTCGAACGATCGTACAGAATACAGAACGGAGATCCGTCCGGATCGCGGACCGATCGCGGACCGATCGCGGACCGATCGCGGACCGATCGCGGACCGATCGCGGACCGATCGCGGACCGCGAGGAAACGAACGCACACTTACCCGTATTTTCTCGGCGATCAGCTTGTTCAGGTCGTTGTACTTGGCGATGGTGGACTGGTAAGGGCCAACGGGGATGCTCGAGTCCTCGGCCAATCGAGCCTTCAGCCGCTCCACGGTCTCGCCGTGACCTTGGATGTCCCTCTGAACCGTCTTATACTTCTCCACGACGGCCCTCTTCTCGCTGAGATCGTTCTTTCGCGTCTCTCCAGGCTGTATCTTCCCCTCGATCTCCTCGATCCAGTCCGTGGTAAGCCTGTGGATTTTGTTCAGCTCTTCGAGAGCGCCGGCTCTCGCGGCCAGCTTCTGCCTGATGTCCTCCACGTTCGCCAGCAGCTTCTCGAACTCCGTCTTCAGATTCTCGGTGTCCTCCTGGATCTTCGCTGCTCCGTTCTGCTCCGTGTTCATGATCACCTTCTCTTTCAATTCCAACGCGTACCTCAGCTTGTTCTGACCCTGCTCCAGGGTCTGCCTGATCGCCTTGCAGGTGTGCAGCTTGTTGTTCACTTCGGTCAGAGTGCTGGGGATCTCCTTGCACTCGCCCAACTTGTCTCGGGTCCTCTCGATCCAGTCCTGGCACTCTTGGTAGAGCGTGTTGTGCTGCTGGTGTTCCTGCGAACCGCCCGAGAACCTCGACGTTATATCGACGTTAAATCGACGTTAAAGACGCGCGCGATGCTGTTTGGACTCTCTCGTCGCTAACCTGATAGTGCAGCTCCAACCGACGCATGATCTCCTTCGCCAACGACAGCAGCGCGTTGTACTTGGTCGTCAACTGCGTGACCGCGTTGGAGATCCTAGTGTCGGCGCAAGTCTCCAGCAGCATCTGAGCCTTCATGTTCAGACGATCCAGCTCCTTCTGCCAATCGAACAGCGTCTGCAAATGAATCTGGAACTGCTCCAGGACGTTCTTCTTCTCTTCCAGGCTATCCTGAAGCTTGTTGAACGACTGCACCAGCTGCTCCGTCTGCGCGAGCCACTCGGTAGCCTCGGAGAACTGATCCTCGTACTCGGTCCACTTGACTATTCCTACTTCTAGCAGGCTCTTGGTGTTGTTCAGCGAGTCCCTGACCGATACACGTGCGTATCGTAGAATCGTGTCGTTAAACAAGCGTTACAACATCGCCGATATCGATTACTCGATATCGGTCGAGCAATCCACCGGGTCGATTAGCCTCGACATAACCTCGTAAACGTAAACATCCGCGACATAACCTCGCGATATACGTATGTACAAAGAGACGATTAATATACACGTATATATGTATATATATGTATATATATATATATATGTATACTCACACGTAGCTGTCGTATTCCTCTTGAAGCAGCGCCACCTCTTCTTCGATGATCTCCTTGTCTTCCTCGTTGGCGATCTGGCAGGCAGCATTGCCCTGCTCCAAAGCGTGCTCCAGCTTCTTCTGGCCTTCGGGTAGCTCGCTCTGCAGCACCTTCAGCTGGGTGATCTTGTTCGCCAAGGACTCCTTGTCTCCGGTAGGTTCGGAGCACTTGCCCAGCCTCTCTTTGGCGGCCCTGATCCATTGAACGAACTCGTTGCCGCCGTCGATGAACGCCTGATGCAGCTCGACCGTCTCCTTCTGTTNAAACATTCGAACGATCGTACAGAATACAGAACGGAGATCCGTCCGGATCGCGGACCGATCGCGGACCGATCGCGGACCGATCGCGGACCGATCGCGGACCGATCGCGGACCGATCGCGGACCGATCGCGGACCGCGAGGAAACGAACGCACACTTACCCGTATTTTCTCGGCGATCAGCTTGTTCAGGTCGTTGTACTTGGCGATGGTGGACTGGTAAGGGCCAACGGGGATGCTCGAGTCCTCGGCCAATCGAGCCTTCAGCCGCTCCACGGTCTCGCCGTGACCTTGGATGTCCCTCTGAACCGTCTTATACTTCTCCACGACGGCCCTCTTCTCGCTGAGATCGTTCTTTCGCGTCTCTCCAGGCTGTATCTTCCCCTCGATCTCCTCGATCCAGTCCGTGGTAAGCCTGTGGATTTTGTTCAGCTCTTCGAGAGCGCCGGCTCTCGCGGCCAGCTTCTGCCTGATGTCCTCCACGTTCGCCAGCAGCTTCTCGAACTCCGTCTTCAGATTCTCGGTGTCCTCCTGGATCTTCGCTGCTCCGTTCTGCTCCGTGTTCATGATCACCTTCTCTTTCAATTCCAACGCGTACCTCAGCTTGTTCTGACCCTGCTCCAGGGTCTGCCTGATCGCCTTGCAGGTGTGCAGCTTGTTGTTCACTTCGGTCAGAGTGCTGGGGATCTCCTTGCACTCGCCCAACTTGTCTCGGGTCCTCTCGATCCAGTCCTGGCACTCTTGGTAGAGCGTGTTGTGCTGCTGGTGTTCCTGCGAACCGCCCGAGAACCTCGACGTTATATCGACGTTAAATCGACGTTAAAGACGCGCGCGATGCTGTTTGGACTCTCTCGTCGCTAACCTGATAGTGCAGCTCCAACCGACGCATGATCTCCTTCGCCAACGACAGCAGCGCGTTGTACTTGGTCGTCAACTGCGTGACCGCGTTGGAGATCCTAGTGTCGGCGCAAGTCTCCAGCAGCATCTGAGCCTTCATGTTCAGACGATCCAGCTCCTTCTGCCAATCGAACAGCGTCTGCAAATGAATCTGGAACTGCTCCAGGACGTTCTTCTTCTCTTCCAGGCTATCCTGAAGCTTGTTGAACGACTGCACCAGCTGCTCCGTCTGCGCGAGCCACTCGGTAGCCTCGGAGAACTGATCCTCGTACTCGGTCCACTTGACTATTCCTACTTCTAGCAGGCTCTTGGTGTTGTTCAGCGAGTCCCTGACCGATACACGTGCGTATCGTAGAATCGTGTCGTTAAACAAGCGTTACAACATCGCCGATATCGATTACTCGATATCGGTCGAGCAATCCACCGGGTCGATTAGCCTCGACATAACCTCGTAAACGTAAACATCCGCGACATAACCTCGCGATATACGTATGTACAAAGAGACGATTAATATACACGTATATATGTATATATATGTATATATATATATATATGTATACTCACACGTAGCTGTCGTATTCCTCTTGAAGCAGCGCCACCTCTTCTTCGATGATCTCCTTGTCTTCCTCGTTGGCGATCTGGCAGGCAGCATTGCCCTGCTCCAAAGCGTGCTCCAGCTTCTTCTGGCCTTCGGGTAGCTCGCTCTGCAGCACCTTCAGCTGGGTGATCTTGTTCGCCAAGGACTCCTTGTCTCCGGTAGGTTCGGAGCACTTGCCCAGCCTCTCTTTGGCGGCCCTGATCCATTGAACGAACTCGTTGCCGCCGTCGATGAACGCCTGATGCAGCTCGACCGTCTCCTTCTGTTTAGCATACAACTCTTGCGCCTGTTTGCTCAGAGTCTCGTACTTGATCGAGATCTCGGTGGCCGGGGTGGCCTGTCTGAGATCCTCGGCCTTGGTCGTGACCGACTGGATCATCGGCTCGAAGGCGACGATGTCCTGGACGATGCTGTTGGTCTGTCTCAGGTTGGCCTTCCTCTCCCCGATAGCCAAGGAACTCAGGCCGGCCAGGCCTTTCCTAGCTTTCGACACCTTTTGCTCGCAAACTTGCTGCAGCTTGGCTTCGCGGTCGTTGATCCACTGTTGCAGCTGCAAGTAGGACGAGCTGTAGTCCGCCCACTGAAGCAGGCTCGTCTCCAGATGCACCTTCGTCGTCGAGATCTTCTTGACCAGCCGCTCCCAGTCGTTCTGGATCTCCTTCAGCTGCGCGTTGATCTCCTCGCGGCCGTCCGACCTCGTGTTCCGCGCGACCTTCTCGCCGCAATTCACCGTCAAGTGCACCAAGTTCTGGCCCTCTTCCCGTTTTCTCAACAACTCTTGAATATTGTCCAGCCTGTTCTGCAACTCGTCCCTGCTGCTGGTGGAAGCCGCTTCCGTTCCCTTGCGAATGATCCGCTTCGCGTTCTCGATCCAAGCGCGAGTTTTCGCCAGGTTGGCCTCGTATTCCTTGTGCTGGGCCAGATTGGTCTCGACTTTGTTCAGCACGTCCTTGGCCAGATTCACCTGCACCTGGTAGCGCGAGTTCAGGTGGCGCAGCTGATTGTTCACGTAGGTGTCCAGGTGCGAGGACAGCAGTCCCGAAGCCGTCTCGTTGAACCCGTCGATCTGCTCCTGGCCCTTCGACAACTTGTCCAGGATCTCCTCGACCTCTCGCACCTGCTTCTCCTTCTCGGCGACGTTCGGTAAAAGAGAGTTTTTCTGTGCCTTGATCAGGATGTCGAACTGCTGCAGCCAGTCGCTCAAACGCTCGTACTCGTCCTTGTAGTCCCGCCATTGGCTCACCGTTTGCTCCAGTTGGTCCTTTTGCTGCTTGATCTCTGTAATTCGAACCAAGTTACGTCGGCGTTAACAACGGTCGGTAAAGCGACGAAGCGTAACGCGAAGCGACAACGAATACGGCGACTCCCGCTAAATAAATAATCGGACTCGCCTTTGAACAGCTCCTCGAAACTCTGCGTCAGTGCCTTGACCTCGTTCTTGACGATCTCCTGGCCCCGCGGGCTCGTGCTGGCGCAGACGACCTTCCCGGTGTGCTGCAGGTGCTCGACGAGCAGCTCGCCCTGCGCTTTCTTGTTCAGCAAGCTCTCCAGAGGCGCCACGGCGTTCTCGATCGCGAGCTTGTCGCTGAGCGGTCTCTGTTTCATCGACGGAATCTTCTCGCGAGCCCTGCTCAACCAGTTGATGATATCGTCGTGAGCTTCCTTGTAGACCCTGTGGTCCTTGTACTGGTCCTCCCGTTCGGCCAGCAACGATCTGATCTTCTCGAACAGGGCGTCGAATCTGTTCAATATACTCTGCGCCTGGCAGGCAGCCAGGCCTCGAGGTCCGCCGGCGATCATCTCGGCCACCTTGATCTTCAGGCCGTCCACCTCGATGTTCTCGCAACGGACCTTCTCCTCCAGAGCTTTTATCCGCTCCAGCTGAATCCTTTTCTCGGACATGGTGGTCTGGAACGGCAGAAATTCGTTCAACGCGGACTGCGCGGAGTCCACCGTCTTGTTCATCGACTGGATCTGCTCCAAGAGCCCGGCCCACTTGTTGATGGAGTCGTCGAGGTTCGTCTTGGTCTCCAGCATTCTCGAGGCCAACGCGCTCCACTGCTCCTGCAGCTTGCCGACCGCGTCGTTGACGGCTCCGTGGCCGGTGGGCGCGGTGTTGGCCAGAACGGCTTGAGCCAGCTCGACGATCCCCTGAACCTTCGCGAAACCGTCCTCCTTGTAGAGCAACAGATCCTGCACGATCTCCATCTTGTTCTCCAGATCCTTCTGAGACGAGGCCCCGAGGTCGGAGCAGTAAGCCAGCTTCTTCCCGATGTCGTCCAACCATCTGGTACACTCGGCCACCCGGTTGTCGAACTCTTGGTGACTGGTAACGTACAGCTGCCATCTGCCGTTCAGATCCTTGACCTTGTTCGAGATGTGCTGGTACTTGATGCTCAACTCGGACATCTGCGTGGTCCTCGAGGTCAAATTCTTGTGCAGCTGCTGAGCCTTCTCCGTAACGGCGTCTATCTCCAATTCCTTCGCTCTGACTCGACCTTGGAGAGTTCTCAGCGTCTCCAGCTGATCCTTCTTCTCGCGAAGGCTAGCCTTCAGATCGACCGCGTGAAGCGTGGTGTCGGTTTCCCTCATCCAGGCCAGGCATCTTTCCCTGGACGCCTCGAACTCGTTCCACTGCTGCAACTTGTTCTCCAGACACTCTATCGTCGAAGCGACCGCGGTCACGAGGCTCTCCCACTCCTGCTGGGAGGTGTCGATCTGCGAACGGACGTTGATCTGCCCGGATTCCAACGTTCCGGGTATCACTTTCTCGCCCAGAGCCCTGATCTGCCGAACTCTGGGCTCGTCCTCCGGCAAACATTGCATAAGGTTCTTCAAGCGATCCAGGTTCGAGTGAAGAGACACTCTTTCGAGCTCGGTGTCGCCCCACAAGATCACGGCGTTGTGCGTGGCGTCCAGCCACTCGTGCGTGTCCAGCACCGCCTTGCTGTACTGCTGATGGTCGCTGACGATGCCCTCGTACCTCTCCACGTAGGCCGCCGCGCGTTTCAGCACCGCGGCGTGCCTTTCGTTCAGCCTCCTCAGAATCTGTCGCACCTTGTCCGCCGAATCGGGAAGATTCTCCGCCTTGTCTCTCAGATCCAGCAGATCCTGCTGATGGGACTGCACGTCGTGCAAGAAACTACGATAGATCTGCAGCTGAGCTCTCTTCTCGTCCAACGTCGTTTTCAGTTCGATCTCGGGCTTCGGTTGGCTCTCGACGGTCCTCAACCAATTCTCGAAGCTCTCGTTCGACTCGTCGAACCCGGACCATCGCGAAATCTTCGATCGGAGCTCTCGCTCGGTCGAGGAAATGCCGTCGTACAACTCCTCGAACGCCTGTTGCAGGTCCAACAGTTGCTGGCGAACGATTTCTCGGCCGTCCGCGCCGGTCGTCGGGTACAATCGTTCTCCAGCTTCCACCGTGTTGTTGATCGAGAGCGTGGCTGCCGATCGTCGGGACAGCAAATCCTTCAGAATGGTCACGTTCGAGGTAAGCTCCTGTCGAGTCCCGCCAAAGTCGTCCTCGATGGATCGATAGCTCGTCCGAGCGTTCGCCAGCCACTCGGAGCACTGCTTGTACCGTTCCAGGTAGGCCGCGTGGTCCGCCACCGCTTGCTCGCATTTCTTCACCAGCTCCTGGAATTTGTCCAACATCGAACACGTCGGCTTCGCTTTTCGCTAACGAGGGAAGGGAGAGAGGAGACGCGCGTCCGAACGTCGAAGCACAGGAGCCTTACCTTGGCGGTAGCTTGGATGGACTGGAACCGAGACGTGATCTGCTGCACGCTGGCGGAGAATCTAGTCTCTCCGCTTATCTGCATCAACTCGGAAGACTCGTCGCTCGTCCTGTCGAATTCGGCTTCGCTTTGTCTCAAATTCACGATCAACATCTGAAGAAAAGTACCATCTTTAACTCCGAGATCTCCGGTCCGATCGGAGCGCGATTACGGCGATTCTTGTCCGACGACGACGACTCGATGACTCGATGACTCGAGTCGGGGCAAGACGACCGTTTTAAATATTCGGAGCGCGATCACGTGTTCGCGGTTCTTCGTTCGAACGTGCTCAAAAGCGACGACATGCATCGAGGCAACAACGATCGGAGGAGTCGTTCGCGCGTTCACCGAAAAGATGGCGTCGACTTTCGACCGTGTTCGCGCGCTCTTTCCACGGATGGTAGTAGGCGATCGCGTGGTTTCACGAAAAACGAAAACACAAAAATCATTGTCGAGCAAAAACGTCGCGATCGGATCGTCCCCATCGTCGATGCAAATTTTCGTCCGTATTCTTGGCAAAGCCTAATCGTTACGATATTCTAGACACGTTGTCCCTGATTACTTGCAGCCTACGATTTCGTGTTTAGAAGATCGATGATAGCGATTTCGTTTGAAAAATCTGAGAGGAAATGGGCATTACTCGTGCGGGACGACCCGACGGACGTTGAAAATTGTGGAAAACGTAGAAGAATGGGAAAAATTGAAAGACAGAACGTGAAAGTTTGTAGATAGAAACGAAAGAAGAAGGCGAAGGAGAAGGGAGACAGTAATGAGAAAGAGAGAGAGAGAGAGAGAGAAGAGAAGAGAAGAGAGAAAGCGTTCACGCCTCGCTGGAAGTGTCTTCGTCGACTCTTCGACGTCTCTTACTTGGTCGAGGTGGTCTCCGAGGGCCACCAGTTCCGTCACTTCCGTGTCCCACGACAGGGCGGTTTTTTGTAGTGCCTAAAGGAAGTTTGTGAAATACAGTGTCCCATTTTCTTCGGACTTTCTCTTCTGTCTCGTATTCTTTTCCGCTTCTCGCCGAATAGTGATCAACAAAATCGCGCAAAAACATTACTCGACAAAATTGTTTGCAAAAACCGTGGTCCCGGCAGCGTATTCTCGGCGAAAAAGAAAAGTCGCGTATGGAAAATTGTCGAAACGAAGACGAACCGTATTAAAATTGCGCGGACGCGTGTCGCGCCTTCGCATCGATTTCTCTTCGTCGGATACGTTACCCGATATTTCTCGAGTTGTTCCTGCTTCTCGTCGAGGGTGTTCTTCAACGAGTAATTCTTCAGGGACGATTCCGCGTCGGCCAACCAGGCCAATAGTCGATCCAACGAGTTTTCGTACTCGCTCCATTGTTGGATTCTCTCTTCGATACAGCGTATTATATCCGTCACGGCGGTGGCGAACTTTTTGTGCTCGAATCTGTAACACGAATACGCGGGATAGAAAACACGTCCCGCGTCGATGAATCTTAACGAAAACGCCTCGAAAATTCGTTTCTCCGCGGCAATTAATTACTATCGTTGGATTTTTAGCACGATAGACGCGCGTATCGAAGTACATTCGTTCGGCATCTTTCAACATTTCGACACAACCGGAAAGAGATCCTCGACGATGCAATTGCAGCAAGTTTCCGCGCATATGCCCCGACGCAGGATATACGATGTTGGTTCGTGAGAATAAAAAACAATCGTCCGTCGTACCTGAGCGTAGCCAGGTCCCTCTCCATGGACTCCAGAGACCTCGGCGTCAGATTATGAGCGCTCCGAGCAACGTGTTCGCTCAGAATATTCAACTTTAGCTCGCCCTCTCTCTGAGCGTCCTGCAGTTCCATAATTTTCGTCAACTGAGCTTGAAGAGCAGCTTTGTTGCCCGTGTAGTCGCTGTAATTGGTCAGCTGTTCCCACTGCTGCTTCTGATAGTCCTGATAGGACTTTTGCAGGTCGTAGAACTGTTGGAAGGTGTCGAGCAGAGTCTCCAGATTCGATATATTCCTCTGGGACACGTCGACCAGGTCGTCGTATCTTTCCGAGACCGAGGCAGCCTTTTGTTTAGCGTCCGACGGCGCTTGCGCGGTACAGGTCAGCGCGTTCGCTTTCTCCGAGACGCCTTCGATGATGCGTTTGTAGGCGAGGATCTCCTGGTGCGTCGCCTGAAAAAGTCGCAACACGGAGAATCCCTGTTCAGAATCCCGACGATTTTATTCTTAAAGACATCGAGTCGCTCACCTTGCTCTTGGACAGCTTGGATTTGATTTCCTGAAGAGACGACCAAGCGACCGCGGAATCCTGCTTGACGGACCTCTCCATAGCGTCCAACCATGCCAGGATCTGCTGCAGAGTTTCTCGATAGTTGGTCCACTGCAAGGACCGAGCGTCCTGTCTCTTCTGCTGTTCGGATATTCCTTCGACCAGTTTATCCCAGCGTTCCCTGGCTTGTCTCAGCTCGTGACGGACAAGCTCTCGCCCTTGAGCCGAAGTATCGGCCAGGATCCTCTCTCCGAAGGAGATCAAGCTTCCCAGGCGATGCTCGCCTTGCTCCTTCTCGGCCAGGAGGATTCGCAGCCTGGACGTCTTCTCTTCGAGGTTGCCGTCCGCCTCGTCTCTCTTCAGGCTCGACAGACTCTGTTCCAATTGGCCGAGCCAGGCGTCGACGGCGTTCAGTTTGTCCGAATAGGCTCGATGGTCGTCCACGATGCTCTGGCAGCGCGTCGTTACCTCTTTGCTGAGCACGAGCAGCGATTGGTACCTGGAGGACAGACGGACGCGGTACGGTTCTCTTCTCCTCTCTTCTCTTCTCTTCTCTTCTCATCGCGAAAATTCGACCCGTTGCAAGCTTACCTGTTGCTGGTTTGCGAGATCAAGGGTTTCACGCGCTCCACGCCGCTGGCATGCTGCAAGCTGTGCGACTTGTCGACGAATTCGTCGATCTTGGACTCCTCCTTGAGTACGGCGTCGCGTTTCTCCGCGAGGGCTCGCAGACGAGCCTCCTTGTCCGCCAAGGTAGGCTGCAGCTGCTGGTCCCGGAACGCAGCCTCCATCGCGCAGAACCATTTCGCGTGCGCTTCCAGTTTGTCGTCAAAGTCCTGCCACTTCTGCAGCGCCGCCTTCTGCTTCTCCTCCACGGATTCTACAAAATGAAAAAAAAACGAATGGCTCGAACGGCGCGATTCGCCGCGATCCCGCCTTTCGACGATCGACCACCCCCGACGCGAAATACCTATTTCGCTCAAGTATTGCCGCAGGCTGCTCTCCAGCACCGCGATCTCCTTGTTAACGGCGTCCCATCCTTTCGGAGCGGTCCTCTTGATCACCGAATCGCTCAGTTCCTTCAGCTTGCCCAGATGCTCGGCACCTTGCATCTGGTCGGTTTTCAAGGAGGTCAGGGTAGCCAACCTCCTCGAGATGTCCGCGCGTTCTCCGGCGAGGTCGTTGCACTCCGCCAGCTTCTCTCTCTCGTTGTTCAACCAATCGGAGAAGGCCTTCGCTCGCAGATTGAATCTGCTGTGCTTCTCGACGCAGTCGGCCAAGTTCTCCAACAGATCCTTCGATTTGGCCACGATGTTGCGGAACAACTGTTTGATGGACGGTAGAAAAACGTTCAGCGAGGTGTCCTTGGTTTGATCGACCAGCTGCTGCGCTTTGTCGCAAACGTTCTCGACCAGGGTTCGATGAGACATGATCTCTTGGTGCATGATCTTGTGGTTCTGCAGCTGAGCCCTCTTCTCTTCCAGGGTGCACTTCAGCTCGGTGTGCTGGTGCATCGCTCGCTCCACGTCCCTCAGCCAGGCGGTGAGCTGTTCGTGCGATAGAGAGAATTCCGCGAACTGCATCAGACACTGGTCCAACTTTTGCATGGTGTTCTGCAGGTCCTCGGTGAACCCGTCCCAGAGCGTTCTCAAGTTTCTCAGCTGCTGCCTGATGATCTCTCGTCCGTCGGGGGACGTGTGAGCGTAAAGCTTCTCCCCGAGATCGATCACCGACTCGAACCGCGCGTTCTCCTTCGTCCTGGTGTCTCCCAAATCGCGTATCAGCTTCTGCCTGCTCTGCAACACCGACAAATCGCCGACCACCTCGCTGTGCTTCTCGAGCTCCGCGCGAATATCCCGGAACCACTGCACCAGTTGCTCGTACTTGACGTTGAACGCCTCGTGCTCCCTCGCGAATTGCTCGTACCGCGACACCGCCTCCTTTATCTGATTCTTCAGGGCTTGGTACTTGGTGGTCGACCTCGAGACCCTGGTGGCCAAGTCCGCGTCGGCTTCGATGCTCTGACACCTCTCGGCGGCGGCATTGAACTCGGCCGCTTTCGCTAGAACGCTCTCCTCGAGAGACTCGAGCTTCCGCAGGTGCGTCTTCTTCGCCTCCTCGGTGCTCCTCAGGCTCTGGTCCTTGAGCTGCGTCTCGGTCCGCTTGATCCAGGCCTCCAGACCCTCCAGGATCTTCTCGAATTCCGACCACCGATCGAACAGCTGCTTCATCCTGTCTCCGGCCGCCGCGCACCTCTTCACGAAATCCTCCCAAATCTTCTTCTGCTGCTCGAAGTTTGCCAGCAAAGCCGAATGTCCGGGCATCGAGGTCTGCTCCAGCACGATGTTCAACTGCTGATTGCAGTCGGCCAGAATCCTGTCGGCCTCGGCCTCGCGCGACAACAGGTTCTCTATCGAGGCGATCTTGTTCCGCGCCGTTTCCCTCTCCACCACGGAGAAGTCCTCGACGATCGGTGTCCCCTCGTTGATCACCGTGCCGATCCAGTCTCGCGTCTTCTCGAACGTTTGCAGGTAGGCCTCGTGATTCGAGACGTGCTTCTCGGCGACGTCGATCCTCCCGTCCACCTCGTTCTCCAGCTTCTCGTAAGCCTCGATCACGTTGCTCAGCATCTCGCTGGCTTCGTCGTCGGGGGCCGTCTTCAGCCGGTCCTGCAGCTGCCGGAGAACGTTCTTGTGAACGGCGACGTCCTGCGCGACGGCTTTCTGCAGATGCAACGCCAGCTTTTTCTCCTGAAGCGTCGGCAGCAGCTCCTGCTTCTCGCCGAGCTTGTTCCGCGCGTCGACCAGCCACTGCTTCACCTGCGAGAACTTGTCCTCGAACGAGGATCTGTGCATCATGTCGCTCTCGATCTTCTTGTAGATCGCGTTCGCGCGGTCCGTCGTCGCGTCCACCCGGTTCCTGAAGTTCCTCAGCTCCGCCCTGATCGTCTCCCTCCGGTCGGCCGTGATCCTAGGGAAAAGCGCTTCCCCGGCCTCCGCGGTTCTGTTCAGGATCGCTTGGCCGACCTCTCTGTCCTCGGCGAACGCCTTCAGCTCTTTCAGCCGAGATTGGTAGAAGGTGATCGGCTTCGGGCCGGTGATCTCGTCGAAGATCGTCAGCTTCCGTTCCGCCTCGCCGATCCACTTCTCCAGCTTGGTCTTGTTCGCGGCGTATCGGTCCCCGTTCTCCTTCAGCTCTCTCAGCATTTGCAAGTGCTGCGCCAGGAACTTGAGCACGTATTCGTAACGGGTGTTCAGGTGTCCTATGTACTGATTCACGCGGGATTCCGAGCTGACCTTGGCGATGTCTTCGGCAAGGGCCGTCAGCTCTCTCAGCTCTCCTTCGTATTCCGTCACGGTGCGCCGCATCTCGCTCGTCTCGGCGATCTTCCGTTCGAGGTCCTCGAGATTCGACAACGCCGACGCCTCGCCCCTGATCCTGTTCTCGTTCTCCTTCAGCCAGAACAACACGTTCTCCGACGTCGACTCGTAACGCTGCCATAGACCGATGTTGTTCTCCAAGTCGCGCTTGATCTTTACGTAGCCGGACTTCAGGGAATCGAGATCGACGGCGACCCTGTCCCGATCGGCCTTCGACGCGGCCATCGTCTCCGCGCTCTCCACCGAAGCCAGCAGTTCCAGAGAATCGTCGGTGTCCTCTTTCCTGGCGACGCAGTCCGCGATCGCGGCCTCGACGTCCATCAGCGACGCCATCTTCACCTCGAGGTTGTAACGGTCGCTGCTCTGCTCGGGCTCGCACCAGGCCACCTTCTCTTTCAAGGTGGCCACCATGCGCTGCAGAGCGCCGAACTTCTCGTGATAGAGCTTGGTCAGAAACGCCACCAAGGTGGCGATCACTTTGCCGGCGTGGCTGTCGACGCCGTCCCTTCGGAGCCGAAGAGCTTGCAGCTCTTTGGGCAGGGTGGACCTGGAGATGCTCGGATACTCGGTCGACGACTCGGTCAACGTCGCCTCGACCTTGGACAACGCGTGGTCGCACCGTTCCAGCTCGGACTTCAGTTCCCGGCATTTGTTGATTCGTCCCAGGATCTTCGTGTTCTCGCCGGTCAGATCGTCGCATTTCACGATTTCCTCCCGTACCTTGGAGATCCGGTCCCCGCACCTCTTCATCTCCTGTCTGATCGACCTCTCCGTTTCGTTCATGGTCGACGTCAACGTCTCCAACTTGTCCGCGGAGCTCTTCACAACCTGAAACTGGTCGTCCAACAGCTGCCGCGACAAACTCAAGGTCGGTATGTCCGCGCCGTTGTCCATCCTCGTCAGCTGATCCATCTTGGCGACGATATTTTGATAGAGCTGCCGATAACCCGGCAGCTCTTCTCGATATCTGAGCAACCTGGCCTGACAGTTCTCGGCGTCGAGCCGACGATCGCTGCCGCTGGTCAGGGACTCGTTCGTGTTGCAGAGCCACTTGGTCAGCTCCGTCTTCGACTCTTCGATCTGCTTCCACATGATGGCCCGTGTCTCGTGAGTCTGCAGTTTCTCGGCGACGTCGTTGTACGCGTCCTGATAACGTTGTCGGACCTCGCGCAGATCGGACTCTATCAGTTCCGAATCGAACGCGGGCATCAGGCTGGCCTCCCTGGTCAATTGCTGCGTCTCGGACTCCATTTTATCCAGAAATTGTTTTCCCTTCTTCAACGCGTCCAACGCCTTTTTGTGCTTCTCGAGAGCCACGTTGGCTCGCGTTACGTCGCAAGGCGGAGCACCCTCGACGGATCGGCACAGATCGACGGCCTCCTCCACGGACTTCTCCACCATCTGTCTGGCTCGTTGGTACGCCTTCCAGTCGTTGTCCATGTCGGCGTACTTTTTCCTTTGCTCGCGAAGAAGCTCGTTCACCTTCTCCCAGTTGGCGTCGACGGACGATAGCATCGCCTGAACGTTGGTCGTCGATCGTTGATCCTCCTTCATCAAGGTGCCGCCTTCGAAACGAAGGGTCTCTTTCTCGCGGTCCCTGTTCCGGTGCTCCTCGATCAGCTGGTCGATCTTGTCCACCGCCGGTGCCAGCTGTTCGCAGGCGGCCGCGTTGCAAACGGTCTCCTGAAGAGCCGTCTGAGTCTTGAGAATGTTCTCGGTGACGCGCTGCTGCAGGCTCTTGAAATTGTTCCACCGCGCGTCCAGGTTCTCGAGCCTGTCTCGCTTCAGGGATATCTCGTTCTTCAACGCGGTGGCTTTGTTCTCCAAATCGATCAGCAGACCGGACGCCGACAACGGTTTGCCTCGTTTGTCCCTTATCTCGATGCCGGTCGCAGCGTCGGGCAACGCGTGCCGCTTCCAACCTTCTATCTTGTCGTTGATCGTCCGCAGCTCCGAGGAGAATCTCTCGAGATCGGCGACGGTCGGCTTCCTCGCCTCCGCTTCGTACTTGCAGTGACTCAGCTGAGCGTTGGCATCGTTCGTCCAGCTGAGGAATTCGATCCATCTCTCGAGACCCTTTCTCTTCTGGCCGAGATCGTCCTCCAACGCCTTGTACTTTCTCGTCAAGTTGGTGTAGGTCTCGTCGAGAGCGGCCGCCTCGGCGACGGACCCGTTCGACGACAGTTGCTTCACCTCGTTGTAGATCGCGGCGAAGCCGGGCTGTTTCTCGGAGTGTTCCTGAATGTAAGCGTGCACCGCTTGAAGATTCGCGTCGACGGTGTCGACCGTGGCCTCGCCGATCTCCGCGACGTTCGATCTCATCCGCGACATCCAGTTCTCGAAGTCGGCTATCTTCATCTGGAACTCTTGACGAGCCAGCAGAGAGTCGGACACCTTGTTGATCTGCAGTCGAACCGTGTCCGCCAGTTTGCCGACTCTGGCTTTGATGTCCGACACGCGGCCCTTCAAGTTGGTCGCACCCTCCAAGGATAAACCGTGGCTGATGTGATCGGACACCTGCGTCAACGAGATCAGCCGAGCTTGGTGATCGGAAACGGTCTTGTTGAAATCCTTCAACCTGGTCAACTCCTTCTCAAGCACCGACACCTCCGGTGTCCGAGTGTTCGGCTCCGACAACACCGTCTTCTCCGATCTCTCCAACCACTCGTCGAACTCTTTGATCTCGGTCTCGAAACTGTACCACGAGGTCACCAGCTTGTCCAATTTGGTGGTCGTCTGTACAGCCACGTCGTGGGCGGCGTTCCATCGAGTATGCACGGCGTCCACCTCGTCGGAAGCCGACGTCTTTCCCGATATTCGTTGGCTGACTAACGACAAGTCCTGTATCTCGGGAAACCGTTGCCGACACCTGCCCTCGAACGCTCTAGCCGTCTCCAGCATCTGGGCTGCCTGGGCCAGGCTCGTCGGTTTACTGCCGATCGTGGCCGCCTTCGATTCCGCTTCTTCTATCCAGGGTTTCAGCGCTCGAATCCCCTTCTCGTACTCCTTCCAGGTCTCCAGGTTCCGCATGGCGGTCTGCTTTTGAACGACGATGCTCTCCCTCAGGGTATCCAGGGTCTTCTCCAGGTTCGCGATGTCGCCGCGGAGCCGCTTGCCCGGCTCGGTCTCGCCGTCGCCTGCGAAACACGATACACAACCGTGTATACCGTCGCGGTGACAAATAAAATCGAAAATCTATAACGGTAGAATTAACGGAGCGCGTTACCTTTCACCAGCTTCTGGGACTCCTCCTCGAGATACGTCAACGTCCTGCTCTTCTCCTGGATCTCCTTCTCGATTCTCTCCGTCCTGTAGACCACCTCCTCCGGGCTGGTGGACAAATTCTCGGCATCGGCGATGGACCGAGGACTCTGTTGCGTCCAGAGCTGCAGCTCGTTCAACTTTGCCTGGAACTTGTTCCACCTGGTGCTGTGCTCCTGCAGGTAGACCACCTTCTCCTGAACGGTCCTCAGGGTCGTCTCGATCTTCTTCTCCGTTCGCGCGATCTCCTTCCCGAGGATCTCCTTCTTCTCGGTCGGAGCGACGTCGGTCAAGTTCCCGTAAGTCTCGCGAAGCTTCTTCAGCAGTTCTTCCGCGGACTTTCTCCAGCCGGAGGCGAATTCCTGTTTGCTCCGAAGATCGGAGGACGCTTCGGAAGCGTCGCGGTAACCGGCCGTTTCGATTTTGCTCAGCTCCTCTTCGGCTCGTTCGATCAACTTGAAAATCTCCTCCTTCTGTTCCTCGTAGGTGCTCCACAATTTCTCGGAGCTCTTCAACGACTTCAACGTCTCGACGCTCTGCCCGTAGGTGTCGTTCCAGCTGGATTTCAGCTGTTGGACCTCCACGGACAAGAATTGGGGAGCGTGCTGGTCCTTGAGCAGATCTTTGCCGCGTTGCAGCATGCTGACGATGTTCGATCGCTGGTGCTCCAGCTGGCTCAGACGACTCTCCTGATGGGCCACGGCGGTGCGCAGGCTCTCCGGGCCCTCCGCGACCACGGCGTCGACCTGCGATTGCTCGCGCACCTTGCGCAGCAGAGTGCACACCTCGCGGACCTCCTTCCTGTAGGTGTAGCTCTTCGAGTAGATGTCCGTCTTTGTCATCGTGATCTCGATGGTCGGTATCAGGTTCTTGTACCGCGTGATCAGCTGCTCGAGCCGATTCTGCTCCGACAGAGCCTCGTTGTCCGATCGATTCGAGGTCAAACTGTCCAGCGTCTGTACCAGCCACTTCATCTCTTCGCGTTTGCTGTCCGCTTCCCGACAGATTTTCTGAGGAAAACGGAGGCAACGTCGTCGTTTAATCGGGGACCGACGCGCGCTCAAGGACTAATGGCAGCATTAGTTCATCGAATATTCGAAGCTCATGGCGTACAGTTTATCATAGTTACCGTCACTAGGCGAATCTATCCGTCACGAGGAAAGCGGCGGGGTGACAAAGCAATTTAGAACGATTCACGTTAAACAAACGATCAACCACATTTTCTACCTCGAAGAACCCCGTTGCAACGAGCAACGCGGCAACGAGCATATTAAAAGCTAGAAACGAAAGTTTTCGACAATTCGAAAACGGATGGATCGATCGCCTCACCTGGAATATCGTTTTCTCGGTCTCGAACTCCTCCAAGGTGTTCACCTCGTGCAAAATGGTCCTCAGGTTGCTGTCCACGTGGTCCATCCATCTCACCATCTCGTCGAACCTGAACGAGTCGAGTCGAGTCGAGTCGAGTCGAGTCGAGTCGAGTCGTGTCGAGTCGTGTCGAGTCGCGGGGAAACGACAACAAAATTCGTAAAACGGATTTAATCTGGAAGATCTCTACGAGATCCGTACACATATATGTATATGTATGCATCGCGCGCGCGCGCCTCGAAACGAACACGAGTGAAAATTCGTTCTCGGATAACGGAAAAAGGAAAACGAGAAAATGCAACAAACAAACCAACGCGTACTTTTTCTTGTAGGCAGCCCATTGCTGAGGAACCTGCTTCAGCTGCTCTCGCAGGCTCTCCACCCGCTGCGCGGAGTCTTCCCAGAGTCTCTCGGCGTTCCGCGCAGCCTCGGCGAGACTGTCGTCGTCCGGCTTCAGCAGGCTGTACGCCTTGCCGATCTTCTTCAAAGCCTCCAGGCACTTCTCGACCTCGAGGATGGTGCCCTGCTTAACGAAGAACTCTTTGTTTCTCTGCAGAATGCTCTCCGCGTTGTCGTTCTTCGTCAGGGCCTGCTGTTCGGCGTTCAGCTCCGCTTCCAGATCCTTCAGATAGCGGAGGAAGGTGATCTCGTACAATCGAAACTCGAGCCCCATTAGATGAAGGGGCGCCAAGGTCAACACCTTCTTCCAACGTTTTCGAAGAGTTTCCACGGCTTCGGTGACAGGGGCTTGCTGCTCGACGGGCAAAACGTTCTTCAGATCCTGGCCGGCGTTCGCGAACTCCTGAATCCATTTCTCGTTGGCGCGAGCGAACAACTCTTTCCGATACTCGAGCAAATGTCTGCTGCTGTCCGTGTGCTTGTCGTTCATCGTGGTCTCGGCCACGGTCAGCCACTCGGAGACCTGTCTCTCGGACTCGTTGAACCTCGTCCAACACCTGACGGCTTCCTGAAGCCGTTGCTCCCAGAGCTGAGCGGCTTGAGACGCTCCGTCGAACCTGTCGTTCAGTTCTCTCAAGGTCTTGCCGCCTTCGGCCGAGGCCACGTCGGCGTGGCTGTCGACCGACTTGACCATGCTGGTGAACACCTTGTTCTTCGACTCGAGCATCGATCTGTAATAAAGGGTTCTGGAGAAGAAGGCCTTGTGACGATCCAATCGAGCCAGAATTTGTTCCCTGCCGCCCGACAGATCCGCGCCGGCGAGCACCCTATCCGCCTCGTCCAACCAGGCGGCTATCTCCTTCTGTCCAGCCTCGAGAGACTCCTGCTGTACCAACAGCTGATGGTACAAGTGCAGCTGCATCGGGATCAACGCTCTGACCTTGACCAACGCTTCCTTCTCCTTCTTCAGGGTGTTCATCATCCTGTCGACTTCGTCGCGAGACAGATCCTGGATCAAGGTTTGAAACTTTTTGCTGATGCTCTTGAAAAGGTCCTCCACTCCTTCGACTTCGTTGTGAAACGCTTGAAGCTTCTCGCCGTAGGCCTTGATCTTTTCGGTGGTCGTCAAATCGGTGGCCGCCAGCGCGGTCTCCGCGTTCCTCAGCCAGCTCTGCAACGTCTCCATCCCGGCCCTGTAGTCCTTTCTGTTTCGGATCAAATCGCCGGCGTGCATGTACTGCTTGGCCTCTTGGAACATGGACTCCCATCGAGCCGCGAGGTTCGTGTAACGTTGCTTCAGTCGAAGAGCCACAGGCTCGTCCGACGTCGCGATCAGGAAAGTCACCGTGTCCGATAATCGCTGATGCTTCTCCTTCCAGACGCTGATGTCCTGGAAGAACTCCATTCTCTCCTCTTCGGGCAGGTTCAAGGCAGGTTCGGCGCGGACCAACCAGGTCTCGAACTCGTCCGACGCGACGTTCCATCGACGCCAGTAGGCCACCACTTCCTCGAGCATGCTCTGCACGCAGCGCAGGTCCATCGACACGCTCTTCCACTTGTCGCTGGTCTCTTTCATGAAGCGGTCGATGCTCAGGCTTTCCTCTCGATCTGCAACGATTTTTTTCGATTTTTCGATTTTTCGATTTTTCGATTTTTCGATTTTCCCGTTTTCTCCGTTCTTCCCGTTTTTTTTTTGTTTCTTTTTTGTTTTAGATTTTTTCCTCGAGCGAATTAGACATATCGTGGCAGGTTTCGTCCGTCGTTGCCTGCCAAGAGGTGTCCTCGGTTTAGATCTCGGTAAGCTTTTACTTTAATTCGTTTCTCAATCGCGAAATTCGCGTTTCAATCTACCCCGTCTCTCTACGTAGCGAAGGAAATAGAAAATAACCGACGAATATGTTACACTCACCAACGTTACCGTCTCGTTTGTAGTCCTCGACGACCTGTTGCATGTCCAGATAGGCCTTCTGGAATTCTTGGAAGATTCTGTTCCGGGACACGAAGTTTCTATACTGCTCCAGCATCTGATGCACCTTCTCCTCGGTGCCGTATTTCACGCTCCAACCCTTGAGCTTGGTCTCGACTAGGAACAAGAAAGCGACGAGACAGCACTTGTGCTCCAGGAACTTTAATCGAATTCTCCGCTTCGCGGCACGGTCCGGCAGGCTATCGAATCGCGCCGCCATATCGTTCAGCTGCCGGGGCTGCATGTGCAACGAGAGCTGAGAATTTCTGGCCGTTTGGAACTTCTCCGTGGTAGCTGGCAGGTCTAGGAAGAACTTTTTGTGTTCCTCCAGCTTGTTCGATATCACGTTGGCCGTTTCCTCGGTCATCTCCTCGGGGATGTCGTTGTCGGAAATGAGGAGGGCTTCCGCGCGCGCCAGCCACCTGCCGGCTTCGCCCAGTTCGCCCGGAAGACTCGAGTCCAGGCTCCAGAGCCAGCGCAACATCTGAGAACACATCCGAGAAAAATCTGATCCTCGAAGAACGAGTATTTTCGCGTTTCTCCTTCGCGGCGAACGTAAAAGACGACGAACAGACTCTTGTTATCGTTATTCTTTTCGTCGAGGATGCGTTCGCGAGGATCGGTCGAAGCGAAAACAGAGATACTCCATCGCGAATGCTCGCGACGCGACTACACGATCGGGCAGCTTACAAGAATCTCGAAGGCGTTCCACAGGCTCTGCACCCGTCTCCAAGAGTCTCTCGTGATGCTGATCGTACTAGGCGTTTCGACGAGACGCCGCAGCTTATCGTACACCACGAACCGCTTGTCGGCTTCCGTCTTCAGAGCAAGGTAGTCCTGGAAAGAGACCGTTGCTCTCAACGACGATTCGAAATTCGAAATCCTCGATGTCGAGAGCGGAAAACATCGCAGAACGCGAACAAGAATCGCGATTCTTACCGCGTAGCTCAACGGGAACGAATTGGTCCTGTCCAACTGCTCCAAGTTCCTGATCCGATCGCCGAGCCAGGCCGACAATCCGTCGTACTCTTGTTGCACGGCTGCGAAACAGTCCGCGGCCGCGGATCCTGGCTCCGGATATTTGTGTAAAAATTGCGCGACGTACGTCATGATCGACTTCTCGTCGGGCTGGGGAACGTCCACGTCCTCGGGGTCGAGAAGCCTGGCGATGCCTAGCTCGAGTTCGGCCACCTGGAACGCCGTCTCCAGGCGAGCTCTGTTCGAGGCCTCTCTCATGGCGGCTACGTTGACCAGGTTCTGCTTGATCGCGTCGATGATGGCCAGAAACGCGTTCCCGTCTCGCCAGCTCTCGCCGAAGTCGCGCACCTGGATGCCGATGTCCCTAACGGTCGAAAATTCCCGAGCAAACATGTACTCTACGGAGGATCGCGTTCGTTACAGGTGGTCGCGTTATACCAACTTGGGCAGAGCATTGGTGACCCATTGAAGGAGCGTTTTTCTGGCGCCCTGCTTCCATTTCTCGCTGCTGATGCGCCTTCTCTCGCTAGCCGCCGAACCCTGGGTGCTCAGACTTTCCAAGCTGCTCTGGCTGCCCCACGTGTGACCGAGATATTCCAAAGCTCTGGTGTTCTCCTCGATCTAGAAACACGGCCGATCAATGGTCCGCGAACGAGAAAACGGACGATCGAAGTGACAGAAACGGGTATGTAGTCGGAGAGATAGATGGATCATGTATATACATACGTACGTACGTATATGAGAGAGAGAGAGAGAGAGAGAGAGAGAAAAAGTTCAGGGAAAAGGGACTAGCGTGCAATCTAGTGTGACGCGTAAAGATAATCATGCAGGGCGTGTATCATCGTCTTTCCTCTCTATAGAAAGAGAGAGCAAACAATCTAGAACTTTGATTCTGTTCGATTAAAATCACAGCAATCCATCTTTCGTTTCTCATTTTGTTTGTTTTGTCGTTTGATAGCTACTCACCTTCGTTCGATCCGTCAATCGTGGCTTATTCATGTAGAATAAACACGGTTAGCTGAATGGGAAGTGTTTCGGATCGTTCCTAACGAGGACTAATTTCTCATTTTACGCTAATCAACGTTGCCTTCGCGCCCATTTTTCCGTTTCGGAACGCTCGTTCCCGCGGGTTTCGCGCGGATCGACGCGACGAAGACTCGGCTCGGTTTCGCGACCGAAACGCGCGTCGAGGATTCGACAACGACAACGACAACGAAGGGTCGACCTTCGCGAACGGCAAATTAATCCCCGCCGACGACAACGATCGCAGCGGCGTATCCGCGCGGCGCGGATCGCGACACGCGTTTACGCGATCGAACGTTACACGTGGCACACGGCCACGGTCAAAATATTCAAGCGACTACCGCATTCGGAATCGTCAGAGTGCTTCTTGCGCATAGCTTCGATCCTAATTAGTACGAACGGAACACCGTCTACCTGGAAATATAAGATGATGGTCCATATCAAGCCGAGAACCACGGGAGGTCGTCCGTCCACCAGGTCCGACGCGTTTATGTTGACCAGCTTGATCTGCAAAGAAAACGCGCGACTCGTTCGTTAATGCGGCGACTTTTCCATCGAACGACCAACGCGTAGGCGGTAGATCGGACGATCGGTAAATCGCGGATATCTTGCGAGATTCGATCGTTCGTAAAGTTGTAACAAACGTTGCGGCGGTTTGTTCGCGAGAGTCCGCGGAACGAGCAAACGTTAAAAATTATTCGCGCACAGCTTCCTCCGCCTCCCCGCCCCTCTTTCGAGCAAAACAAATTCTCGAAGCGGACATAACCTCGACTCTCGAAAATCTACGAGAACCCGCCTGGTACTCGTCGGATCGCGGAATTGCCGTAATCGCTCGTAGCCCCGAGATTACCGGCAGCAGCCAACGTTTGCCGATCGAAACTCGCAATTTCTTTCGCCTCGGAACGAACACCGAGCGAACAGATTGCCGTAATTGGCAATCGAGCGACGCGAGGCGAGGCGAGGCGAGCACGGTACGATGCTAGCTCACCTTCTTGCTCTGTAGGAACTGCAGCGCGGTGTTGGCGTTACTGAGAAAGTGCGGTCTCTTCAAATTACGGCCCCGTTCGACCGGCTGCGAACAGAAAACGTATTTCATCGTGTGAGGGAGGATCCTATCGATCGGAAAGTCGTACGAGTCGCAGCTGCTGCCGATGCTGCGGCTGCTGCTGCTGCAAACGCACTCACCAGCTTCTCGCCGGACAGCACCTCGAGCAACGCGAGTAGGCGGGTACCGTCTTTCAGATCCTCGATCAAGTCCTCCACGTGGAACGGTGGCATTCGCTGAAAATAAATGTCGTTACGGAGGCAACGGGGAAGACGATGCGAGAAGAACGCGGAACAAGTAGATATTTGCGTTCGATCGGAAAGGATCGCGCGCGTCGACCCGTTATCTTCTACAAATTTTTCGAAACGCAAAAATCTAAAGACGTTCGAAGAACTCGAGGACGTCGTTGCATCATTTTCAACGTTTTCCAGCGATTCCAGCGTCTGCCGGTCGTCTCGGACAATTTTTATTTCGCGCGAAAAATCAAGAAGAGTCCGTTCGCAAGCGAACCATTCCGCCGCGTTGCTTCGGCATCGTTTAAGAACGCTTGCCACGGATTTATCGCGTTTCCCGACGATCGCGCTCGTCCGAGCAGCGCAATTCCGAGGTAATCCGCGCGTAATCGGTTTCACGCGCCCATCCGCAATTTCTTAGTCGACGAAGATGCATTTACGTTCGTTCCGATTTACGATATCGACCGCGAGCGTTGTAAATCGCAGGAATATTCGAGACGATTAAATACTCGAGATCGGGATCTATTTCCGATCGCGCGCAGCGCGATGAAGTCATCGCGACGGGTTAGCTTCGGATTACACACCGGTCGGTCGATCGCCGACCAACTTTGCTCGGATGCAATTTTTCAAAGCGTCGATTCACGATCCGCGATCCACGGAATTCGAGCAGGTTCGCGCGCACGGTTTAAAGTAAGCAGCTCGGGGGATCGTTTACAAAGATTCTCCGGGAAGAGTAAACGCTGTTTCGCGGCTGCGGCGCGAGACGTTCTCGTCTAATTTCGCGAAACTTCTTCGGGCACTCGCTCGGTACCCGAGACGAGCGACGATCCGCAAAATATAATCGACCGACCGAAGAAACGCGCCGCTCTAAAATTCGATTCGATCGCTTTCGAAGAGTCGAATCGAAACACGGCGTGTACACGGCGAAAGCGTTCGTTTTCGAGGTCCGCGACGCGAATCCTTGTCCGAGATAGGTACGAGTTCCGAATTTCCGGAGATCGGAACAGCCGCCGCCGGCTGTCCGCGAGTCGGCGGAACGACGGGACAGGCTAGAACAGAAAACGCAATGTCGTGCCGGTTCTGGGGCATGCATGTCGCAAGGAAGCGGAGTGGGATTTCTAATTCAAGTTTCGAAGTATCCGGAAGTGCGGAAGTAGGGGAACGGTATCGAGACTCGCGAGCCAGGCACGAGTTATCCCAACGAACTTCTGATATTCGTGATGAGAAGTAATTTCGCCGATCCCTTATTACGTAGCGGCTGCCATAGAAAAAACCTCGACGGTGTTTGCCTGGACGAGAAAATATTCGTTGACGTTTCGCCGGTGCGGTGGGGCGCGATGGGGCGCGATGGGGCGCGATGGGGCGCGATGGGGCGCGATGGGGCGCGGCGACCCGTACCTAAAGTACGACGAACGATCCGAAGAGACCGAGCGCGCTCGTCTTTGCGATCGATCCCGAGTCGCCGACCTCTTCGATCGGGATTTCCTTACCGAAAATCGTGGGGTCGCTCACCTTCGAGAGATACGAGTTGATCCAGTTGACGAAGGTCTTCTTCTGGACTCTTTCTTGCTCGTCTGTAACGAGAGAAACGGTTTACTCGTCCATGTCTTTTCGTTTCTTTGTTTTTTCTTATCCGATCGTCTCTTCAAATCGTTACGCGAAAAGATTCGTAAGACGATTCGCTGAAAGTCGAACGCGCGCGAGCAGAAACGGTCGGCGGTGAACGGGCGCGCCTCGCGGCGATCCTCCTCGATGCTCCGGCTAATTTTCATCGAGCAGGTCGCGCGACGAACGTTCGAATTTCGCGTTTACTTCGAACCGAACGCCAATGACCGATCCGTGGAACGCTTTCCAATTACGTTCCGGCAGAAACTCTCTGGCCGCGAGCGAAGCGTCTCGATCGCCCCGAGCCCGGCCTCGACCAAGGCCCCGCGGCGAAGCCATCTTCGAGATTTCTAGAAGAAGAAACGGGCCGCGTTCGCCTCGTTTCGTACGTTTCAAGGACTCGCGATCGAATCCGATCGCAGCGTACGCGGTCGCCGCCGCGTACGACGATATTCGGAACGCGACGAACCTCGAGGTCGTCGATGATCGTCGGCGATGCGTCACCGGAGGCCGAAGACGCGCGAGAAATTTCGCGTCTTTACGCAACCACCGAGTTACGCGTCGGTTTGCGAAACGAACCAACGTTATATCTCGCCTCGCCTCGTCTCCTGTCCCCGAGGCACGTTTTCGTCGCTCGCGAACGTCGTTAGCGTCCACCTCCGTGACGAGGATTCGCGAATCGCGAACTCCTCCGGCCAGCTATCGGTTCTCGAGACAGCGAATTTCTTGAACGTTCGTGCGAGCCGCGAATTTCATATTCGCGTTCGCGTTTAATATTCGACATTCGTTCGGTCGGAGCACGGCTGGATTCCGCGAACGTTCCGCGAAGGCGATTCTTGTCGAACGGAACGGAGTTATGTCTTACGGAACTCGCGAGATCGATTTCTATATCTAGATTCTACGAACGTTTCCGATCGTTCGCGATGCGAGATCGATCCGATAAAAATTTCGATTCGCGTAATTCTCGATCGAGTCGGCCTGGAATAACGCGAAGTCTAACGTCCAACGATAAGAATAATTCTGACGACATTCTCGGCGTCGCGTCGTCGTCGTCGCCGTCGCCGTCGTCGTCGATAGCGAAATGAAAAAAGAACGGTGCGCGATAGCGCGCGTTGCAGCCAAGTAAATGATTCAGTCTTGACTTACAATTAGATTACGTCATCGTCGCGATCGTCGCGTCGCGAGCTACGCGAAGATTCGTCTCGCAGCGGCAGGCCTCCTAGTTCGCGAGCCGTTACAGCGGAAGCCTTTTTGGCGCCGATAAACGTTCGACGCCGCGACCCGACGAACATCTTGTCCCGCTTTCCGGAACCGACTATCCGCGAGATCGCTTTTCNTGACGTTTCGCCGGTGCGGTGGGGCGCGATGGGGCGCGATGGGGCGCGATGGGGCGCGATGGGGCGCGATGGGGCGCGGCGACCCGTACCTAAAGTACGACGAACGATCCGAAGAGACCGAGCGCGCTCGTCTTTGCGATCGATCCCGAGTCGCCGACCTCTTCGATCGGGATTTCCTTACCGAAAATCGTGGGGTCGCTCACCTTCGAGAGATACGAGTTGATCCAGTTGACGAAGGTCTTCTTCTGGACTCTTTCTTGCTCGTCTGTAACGAGAGAAACGGTTTACTCGTCCATGTCTTTTCGTTTCTTTGTTTTTTCTTATCCGATCGTCTCTTCAAATCGTTACGCGAAAAGATTCGTAAGACGATTCGCTGAAAGTCGAACGCGCGCGAGCAGAAACGGTCGGCGGTGAACGGGCGCGCCTCGCGGCGATCCTCCTCGATGCTCCGGCTAATTTTCATCGAGCAGGTCGCGCGACGAACGTTCGAATTTCGCGTTTACTTCGAACCGAACGCCAATGACCGATCCGTGGAACGCTTTCCAATTACGTTCCGGCAGAAACTCTCTGGCCGCGAGCGAAGCGTCTCGATCGCCCCGAGCCCGGCCTCGACCAAGGCCCCGCGGCGAAGCCATCTTCGAGATTTCTAGAAGAAGAAACGGGCCGCGTTCGCCTCGTTTCGTACGTTTCAAGGACTCGCGATCGAATCCGATCGCAGCGTACGCGGTCGCCGCCGCGTACGACGATATTCGGAACGCGACGAACCTCGAGGTCGTCGATGATCGTCGGCGATGCGTCACCGGAGGCCGAAGACGCGCGAGAAATTTCGCGTCTTTACGCAACCACCGAGTTACGCGTCGGTTTGCGAAACGAACCAACGTTATATCTCGCCTCGCCTCGTCTCCTGTCCCCGAGGCACGTTTTCGTCGCTCGCGAACGTCGTTAGCGTCCACCTCCGTGACGAGGATTCGCGAATCGCGAACTCCTCCGGCCAGCTATCGGTTCTCGAGACAGCGAATTTCTTGAACGTTCGTGCGAGCCGCGAATTTCATATTCGCGTTCGCGTTTAATATTCGACATTCGTTCGGTCGGAGCACGGCTGGATTCCGCGAACGTTCCGCGAAGGCGATTCTTGTCGAACGGAACGGAGTTATGTCTTACGGAACTCGCGAGATCGATTTCTATATCTAGATTCTACGAACGTTTCCGATCGTTCGCGATGCGAGATCGATCCGATAAAAATTTCGATTCGCGTAATTCTCGATCGAGTCGGCCTGGAATAACGCGAAGTCTAACGTCCAACGATAAGAATAATTCTGACGACATTCTCGGCGTCGCGTCGTCGTCGTCGCCGTCGCCGTCGTCGTCGATAGCGAAATGAAAAAAGAACGGTGCGCGATAGCGCGCGTTGCAGCCAAGTAAATGATTCAGTCTTGACTTACAATTAGATTACGTCATCGTCGCGATCGTCGCGTCGCGAGCTACGCGAAGATTCGTCTCGCAGCGGCAGGCCTCCTAGTTCGCGAGCCGTTACAGCGGAAGCCTTTTTGGCGCCGATAAACGTTCGACGCCGCGACCCGACGAACATCTTGTCCCGCTTTCCGGAACCGACTATCCGCGAGATCGCTTTTCGATCGGTACGAAAGAGAGAAGGCGGCGGGAGTTAGATTTCGCGAAACAGTTGATAACGATCCCGATGGCCCGACCGCGATAAAAACAAAAGGGACAAGCGAGAAACGCGTTCCCCGGCGCTCATTCTACACTGTTACACGAATATTCGACTCGCGCGCGTCGCATCGTCGCGGATGGCGTCGAACGCGCGCGTCACCTTCGAGATCGGACCCCGTTTTCGTCGAGCCGACGCGACGGGGACACCGAGGCGAATCGTTCGGCGCGTTGCGACCGCGCCGTTTTGAAAACTAAACGACAAAGTCGAGAACGAGTCGAGTCTACGAATTTCTGCGAGGTCCGTTGGCGAATACGCCTTTCTCAGAAAGTTACGCGGTGTTTCGAGAACGATCGCGAATCGAGACGCTCGAATTTTCGATCCGCGTCGATCTTCGGGCATCGGCCCGAAGTAATAAATAATTGGCGAAACTATCCGATAATCGACTAAAAATATAAACGACGTTCCCCCGATCCGTCGCCGTCGGATCCTCGATCGAATCGCGTTGCCACCGAAAGCCGGTAAATCTGCCACCGCGTCTGCGCGTTGCGTCCAGCCGAGCGTTCCGCGTTCGACGTTTCGCGATCCCGAGCAGAGTACCAGGTTCGATCGATCGGCAACGAGAGAATCGAACGCGACGCTTGCACGAATCCGGCAAAAACTTGTCGACAGGTGCGCGAGCGTGCGCGGTCGAGAAGCTAGCCACGCGAGTCGAACGCGCGAACGCGTTACGGCGCGCAACCGCCGTTTAACGGCCAACGAACGCTCTCGGCGTTTCGGGCGGTTAATTCCGAAGGGGGTGCGGCATCTCGAAGTCTCGAAAAAACGAGCGACAGAATCGCGCGCGGAACGCGTTTCGTTGGCCGTTTCGACACGGTTCGAAACGCGACGGATCCATAGAAAAAGTTGGAGCTCTTACGAGACGATTCGCGAATCGTGACTCGGCGCCGACGCCAACGCCAACGCCGACGCCTACGCCGCCGCGCGACGTCTCCTCTCGCCACGTTTTTTTCCTCGATCGTCACCGACATTTAAAATTATCTCGGCTTTCATCCTTCCCCCCACCCCCTCCCCCCGCCTCTCCGCGTTCTCCCCCGAGAAAGAAAATAGGTGCGCGCGCGAGGCAGCCGCGCGTATAAATTCGTATTTTTAGCGCTTTCGTCTTCGATGTCGAAAGACGAACCTGCGAAAAGGAAGGAAGGGGCGGTCGCCGAGGTGGGGCAAATTCTCGTGAACGAGCCGACGTCCGCTCGGCGTACGCGTTCCATCCATCCATCCATCCATCCGTCCATCCATCCGTCCATCCATCCGTCCATCCATCGAACGAGAGTCGATCGAGCGGACCGTTTTCGTCGCCGCCACCTCCGTATTTGTCTCGAATCGTGAGAAAAGAAATCTTCGAGTCCGAGCTCGGTGCCGTTTTCTCTCGACCGAGAGTAGTCGAGCGCGAGAGGAACAGCTGCGGTCGAATATGTCGAAGAAGGAATAGAGTAGCCACGATTTGTCAAAGATATCGAATATCGCGGGGAAACGATATCCGCGACGAATCTACGATTTCCTTTGGTTCGTCAACCGTGTATTTCTGCGGGAGCTTTTTTATCGGGCATCGCGCGTCGGACCGTGTTACGCTTTACGCTGCCTATATTTACGTGTACGCGTCGCTCGGTCGCTCGTCGTCGCTCGTCGTCGCGCGTTCGTGTGTTTTTAGCACGATCGGAGGCCGAGAGCGCGAGCGAAGATCGAGAGAATCGGGACGATCTCCGTGTTCCGGCCGCAAAAGCTTCGCAAAAGTAATTCGAACCGACGTCGCGAGTTTCCTGGAAATCCGGCGCCGATCGAATCAAACGATCTCTGTCGCGAACGGAGAAACGGATTTCGGAAAGAGAAAAATGCCGGGGCTCTCTTTCGTCGAATCGAGGGCCGTCGAGATCGATCGGAGACGCGTCGATCGCGACGCGACCGATCGTCGAAAGTCGAAAAATGCGACGGATCGTTTATTTAAAGACCGCCGCGAACGATCGATCGGGGATGCCAGTCCAGCTTTGTTTCGTCGAGTGAGATCACTCTGCCGATTAGAACGAGACGCGTCAAGGTGAAGCGCGGGCTTAGCGATTCTTAACCGCCGTTTTTAGAGACGATCGCGGTTCGAAATAGCCGGGCGTCGCTCGACGCGGCAACAAGTCGACGCTCGGGCGACGTCTCGCGATAACGATGTTCCCTGCAACGACTTTCCCAAAAGGCCGGGTTCGTTCGCAAGAACGTAAAGCCGAGCTCCAATTATCGAATGCAACTGCACGCCATTTACCATGCATGCGGTTCCATTGCTCGAACGATGGCTCGCGGGGCCAAGTTTTAAGGGTTGAAACAGGAATTCCGACGCGAGTCGGTGTTCATTCACGGATTCGAATCGTTCGTGTCTCGTAGATTCGTTCGTAGAGCAACGAAAACTGTTCCAACGGAATCGTACTTTCCCGAGTGTTCCGCTATTTCCAACGTCTTTCGTTTTTATTTTCAACGTCCGATCGCGTTACGCCCCCACCCGATTCAACTTGTCGAAATCTTCGAATCCGTCAAAATAATTGTTATTCGTACAACAACGTTTACGCGTTATCGTTCGTACCGGTTTCTACGTCGACAAATTCTTCCAACGTTTCGACCGTCCATAAAATCCACGGTCTTCGATTAGGAAAGAATAGATTAAAAACGAGAAAAAAATCGAAAGATCGAGATTTCCCAGCACCGAATCCGTCGACGATTCGCGTCGAGCCTCGCGTCGCGACGATCGCTCTCCATTAAAAACGACCGACCGTGTGTTTGCACGCGCGATCGTTCGTTAATTACTTCCTAATGAGCGTTCGGAGGGGGTGAGGTAAGATCGCATGTCGTAGCCGGCGCAGCTCGTCGAGCAAATTGGAGAAACGATGGCGTGCGAGCCAGAAATCCTCGATCGTCGGTCACGAGTCGTGTCACGACGTCGCGACTCGCGACTCGCGACGCTCTACGGGATTACATCCCCTGCGAAACGATCGCGTTCGTTCGTTCGTTCGTTCGTTCGTTCGTTCGTTCGTTCGTTCGTTCGTTCGTTCGTTCGTCCTCGGACCGGCCGTAAATTGGCCGACTCGCGCGAGTCGATGCACAGTCGGGGTCGAAGCGACGGGAAGCGGCGAGCCGATCTTCTCGTCGCGTATTCGTCGCCTCGCGTCGTCTTCGCGAGGCTGGAGACTGGAGCGGAGCCTCGAGCCGTGCGACCGGACGAATCGTTGCAATCTTTCTCGAGATTCTTGCAACGAGAAATCGCGTACCGCGACTATAAATAGTCGTCTATCGGCGCTTCTAATTATAGACTCGCCGCGCCGCGTTTATTGTACCGGCGATCGACGGCGAGCGAAAATAGCGATCCGGAAATTTACGAGCAAAGTCGCCCGGTTTCGGCAGGCCGACTTCCGCTGTTGCGAAACGTCGCGCGGCGTTTCCCCCGCCGCAATCGGTACGCTTCCTTTCGGCCGGAGGACCGAGACCAACCGCGAACGACCCGTCCGAACGTCGTTTCGTCGCCGAGTGTGGTGCCGTCGAACGGTTTCGCGATTATTCGGTGTCGA